ACTCCTGAAATATTACCTTAATATCAATAGGAGACTTAAATTTGGAATACTTTATGTATACGAGAGACAACTCGTGGGTCACTGTGCTTATAACAGTGCCCCCAAATCAGTGTTCTAAAAAATGTGTTAGCTAAAAAATACTGTTTTTAAATGATCTGCCATGCTGTTTTGTAACTAAAATTTATCAATGTAAAATAAGCATTTTGATAGAAAAATTGCAAAACATAGAGGCCAACTGACCACGTCATCAGTCTTATGTGTATATTATGAGTATTTCAATAGTGTTGTATTTCTGTACAAAGCACAGTACTTATTTCATTACCTATTCATATTTCCTTACCACTCCATTTGGTCCCTATAAAAGAGAATGCCTCCTTGACTAGCAATTTGTATAAGCAGTGGTAGCAATTTATTTTTTAAAAGTACTTGATAATATTGAGTTTAGCATGTTGTTGGAAAGGTTATTAGATTTTTTTCAGAAATTATTTCAGAAATGCTACATATTCAGTACTCCAGCTTCCCCAGAACTCGGCAGTAATGGCACAGACTGTGCTGTGGGGATTAGCAAAGGATTGTGAAGAAGGTCAGGGTGTTCAAAAAATGTAGGGAACTCACCAAAAAAAAAAAAAACCTGGGACAGAAGTATGAAGGTGAGGAAACAAGAGTTCAGCAGCTGGGAACCACCAGCCTGAACATAGAGTAGGGACCATGGTGGGAATGGGTGATGATGGGTGATCACAGGCCTACATCCACCCAGAAATGAAAGCACATTTACTGTTCAGGGCGCCTGGGTGGCTTAGTCAGTTAAGCGTCCAACTTCGGCTCAGGTCATGATCTCATGGTGAGTTCAAGCCCCATGTCGGGCTCTGTGCAGACAGCTCAGAGCCTGGAACCTGCTTCACATTCTGTGTCTCCCTCTCTCTACCCCTCCCCCACTCGCACTCTCAAAAACTTTTTTTTAAAAAGGACAGTTATGTTTATATACAGTCAGAACTGAACTATGCTGAAAATACTTTTCATCGACCAGTGTGTATATGTGACAAAGTGAGAATGAGAACACCAGAATGGGTTTTCCAAGTTACATTTATTCATTTATTTATGAACAAGAGCTGGGTCTTTACTTTCTAGGAGATAAAATGTTGTTTTATAAAACTGTGCTAATAGACCTTAGTTCTGGTTTTCCCGGAAACAGACCCTGTGGCACGACTGAGTACAAGTGGTTTACCTGGTTGGTATAGGGGAACTCCTCGAAGGGAATGGAGAAATGACACAAGAAAAGAAAGGCACCAAAAGAATGGAGTGTTACCATACCAGCTACTTTGGTAACAGCTTAATCCTGTGAAGAAAAGGTATGTACCTTTTCCTAGAGTTTCCTCAGATGTGTCTGTGAATATGTGTGGCCTGACAGCATGGGCCACGGAAAGTGGTCTTAAGAGTAATTTTATTTTTACTGTTCTTACCTTGGAAAAATGATGTTAGTCACTGAAGTCAGTTCCTCACTTACCGTTTCCAACCCTCCCCCAATTACATCCAAACACAGTCTGGGACACTGACATTCCAGCCCAAGAGCCCGTCAGTTGGCAATATCAGTGATGGCACAGGGCAGGTGCAGCTCAGAATGAAGAGCCAAATTCCAGTCCACTACCCCTAGGAGGAAGGACGACTCCAGAATGAGCAACAGAACATACCAAGGGATGCCCTTTATGACCTTCAAATCCAACAGGGCCTCCAAATTCTTGCCTATCTAATCCACCTCTTTTCTCACATCTTCTTGTCAGGCAGCTCCACTTGGGGAGGAAAAGGAATCGTTAGATTCATAAGTCTGAATATGATTTGCTTAGCTCTCGAGCTCCCCACATCGCTCTACAAACTTCCTGCTGCTCCAGTTTCTGCAAGCATCTCCTGAGGCTTGTCCAAAGTTGACAGTAACTTCCAGAGAAACATGTAATCATCCCTGGCTTTGTAGTCAACAGGATCACTCTAATTGTGACAGAGGATATCAAGAAGGACCTCCATCTATATATAAATATATTTCTTGTTGGAAAGAAAACATTTTGGGAGGGGTGGATGAAGGAGGAAAAATTATGACATTAAATAGTAATATGGTAACAACTCCCAAAATGATTAGACACTCTAAACTGGTAATACTGTTCTAGACAAATGAATTCTCATGTGTTTAGCTTGCTTGGTATAATACTTAGAACAAGCAGCTTATTTAAAAACAAAACAAAACAAAAAAAAACAACAGTGGCCCTCAAAGCCACTACTTGAAAAACAGTGAAGATTCCCACCTTCTGGGGCAGTGTCCTGTCTACCAGGAGGATCTCAGCCTAGAGACAAAAAACATTTCACATCTATCGAACAATTACTATGTGTCAGAAACTTACGTTTAGTCTCAGTCCAACCTTGATAACTACCAAGACAACCCAATGAAATGGGCAGTGTCCTCCCACATGGAGATGAAGAAATCCAGACCCAGAGCACACTAGTAACTAATCACCCCTCCTGTGGCTCAATGGTGCAGACCTGGTATTCAGACGTAATGCTAACACCAGGTGCTAGCTCTTCACCGTTCTACCGCTTCCAACATTAGGTCCCATCTCCTAACCCTCCTCTCCTTTTAGTCTTCTGCAAGGTATTACCAGAGAGCCAATAATTCAAGTGGTTGTCATTCCTACTTATGTTTTTAACATATATTTTTAATCAACAGTTTTCCCCCTCTTTTGAATGTTACCAATCTTGGCACTAATCACTAAAAGTACTTTTAACTTCTAAAATGTACTCAAGCCTAGCAACACAAAAACCTCAAGTAATACCAAGGAAATAGTTACTAACAGAATGTTTAATTTGTAATGATTTAAAATTGCACTTTCTGTTCACATGCTGATCCTTTTCTCTCTTCTTGCAAGACTTTTCACCCCAAACTAATGAGATACCAAAGGATGTGACAAAATGACCACCTCAAGTAATGAGTGGCCGTAGGGGGCTGCTGAGTGAAAAGAGGAACAGGGTGGGGGCATGAAATTTCTTCAAAGGACATTTTAAAAAACTCCTTTTTGTAATCTGATCTGATAGTTATTTCATCATGCCTTTTAATGATCTATTCACAATCAGATGTAGGCCCATAGTTCATTTCCATCAGTTACAAAAATGCGAAATAATGGAGAATTTATTGGCGCCTGTTGTATTTTAATATGCAATAATTTATTTCAAAATGTTTTAGTATCAACTTTGTGATGTATATGTACATGTATGTGCATGTAACTTTAATCTTATCCCAGGACTAGGTCAGATAACATTTGAAGGACTCCAGTCTGGTGGCTGGGTGTTTTAAATACTGTCATCTAAATCTATACCACTGTTAATTAGCATAAGGCAGGTCAGTACTTTTTCACTGGTGAATGGAACTCGAAAGGTAAGTGGTTGCCTAGAAAAAGTTTTAGAAGCAAAATACATGAAACAAGGTATAAGAATATGGAAGACTCTGCAACTCAAGACTTTGATTAGTACTTCCGATCTAGTTCTGTGCCGTCTTTCCCCAGCCTCACACATTTAAGATTGCATTGCCTGATTCAGTCAGGTTAAGTAAACCTGACCTAAGAGTATCACTGCTTCTGCTTTACTGTGCGTCTTTTGCTCAAGGTGTTTGTTGGATTATGAGTAGAGACGGAACTTATCTAAGCTTTCTAAAGGCCCTGCTTGCTAATAAATATCTATTCATGTGAGAGAGCTCTGTTTTAGATTTGCTTTTATTGTAATATACCACCAGGTAATTAGGTTATGCGAGAGGAGACCTATTTTACCACTTTCAGTAAAAATGGCCACTCTCTACTAAGTGAACCTGGGGCTTGGTGACTACATTGCTCCAGACAGTCTACAATGGTGTGAAAAAGAAATGAAAAGCTCATCTACTCTCATTCCATGCTGAGGGTCACATCTGATTCCTGAGTACTGCCCATGATGTACTACCTCCTGAAGATCTCTTTAAGATCAGCAGGTGAATACTGACCTTTAAGTGCTGGACAGAAGGCAATCAAGCCATCGTAAAGGTCAAGGTCATCCTCTGGTAATATGTTTTAAAATATAATTAATTTGGGGGCACCTGAGTGACTCAGTTGGTTAAGCATCCAACTTCAGTTCAGGTCATGATCTTCTAGTTCATGAATCTGAACCCTGAGTCGAGCTCAGTGCTGACAGCTCAGAGCCTGTAGCCTGCTTCAGATTCTGTGTCTCCCTCTCTCTCTGCCTCTCTCCTGCTCGCACTCTCTCTCTCAAAAATAAACAAACATTAAAAGGTATATAATTAGTTTTGTATCCCTTTTAGTTAAAACTGGATTACTTAGAAGGCTGCTGTCTTTTTAAAATTTTTAACATTTATTTTTGAGAGAGAGAGACAGAGCATGAGCATAAGCAGGGGAGAGACAGAGAGAGGGAAACACAAAATCCAAAGCAGGCTCCAGGCTCTGAGCTAGCTGTGAGCATAGAGCCCAATGCAGGGGGTTCAAACTCACAAACCGTGAGATCGTGAGCTGAGCCAAAGTGGAACACTTAACTGACTGAGCCATCCAGGCACCCCATTTAGAAGGCTGTTTGTTAATGATTCCTCAAATTTGAAAATATAAATAGGGGCACCTAGGTGGCTCAGTCGGTTAAGTGTCCCACTCTTGACTTCAGGTCAGGTCATGATCTCATGGTTCGTGGGATCAAGCCCGCACCTGGCTCTGTGCTGTGTGGGGCCTGCTTGGAATTCTCTCTCTCCCTCTCTCTCTCTCTCTCTGCCCCTCCCTCACTTGCTCTCTCATAAATAAATAAACAAACCACAAACAAAACCAGGAAAACCCAGCCCAAACAGAACTATTGTCCTAAATTTTAAATAAACCTGTTCTATACTCCTGTTCAGAGGAAACTGGAGAGTGTCACTGAGACTGAATGAAGCACAATTTGAAAACCCAAGAATCAATCCAAGTGAAGTTGTAACATATGAGAAACCTAAAAGTAAAAACTATGTCAAACACATTTTATTTGGTGTTTCATGCTAGGCTGACTTAAACAAATAAAACAACTCTGTTGAACAGATTTTTTTTTTTTTTAATATGACTATGTGTACAAGGACAACTGAGAACAGGGAAAACCCCCAAATTAATGTTTTCACAAATTACAGCTGTTACTATAGCTTGGATTTTAAGGATATCGTTCAATAAATGAATAGTTTCTCATTCCATATAGATTAACCAATTCCTCTTTTAAGAAAGCCAGCATCTTATAGTGCCAGGAGTTTACCTTTTGAAACACGCCATAAAGAAAAAAAATGTGTTCCCTCAGAGTCCCCTCTCCAATATTTTGTTATTAGTTTCTAAAAATGGCAAAATAAAATTGAATTTATATTAGAAAATGAGAGTACAGCTTTTTACGGCTAAGCTCAGCAGCAAAATTGAGGAAGAGTGACAAGTCACAGCTGACGGGTCCCACAGAGAATGAGGACATTTGTGCAGGTGTCCTGCACAGTGCTCTGTGTATGCCAAACACAGTCAACGTTCCATCATGTTTTCATTGCTCTTAAACGAGCAATACCAAATTCTTTTTTTTATTTAAAGAAATATTTAATCTTTATCCCCCCCAACATAATTTGTGATTAGGTAAGGCAAAGGTAAGTCCCATCATCACTGGGAACAGCAGCAATATACAGACATCAGAAATAGCCCTGAATCGTTGCTAACATTCTCTCCATGGTAACATAAGGAATGTATCTAATAAATCAAAGTTTGCAATGGTGTCATGTTGTTCTAATTTATTTGATTAGTTTATCTTGAAAAACTTTATAAATACATTATTTAAGAGGGCAGTATATTTTCTTGTTCTGAAAAAATAATGTGTTTTTTTCACATTTTAAAACCATTTAGTATGTTTTTGCAAAAGGAGATGCAAGAATGTGACAGCTGGGTCTGCAGAAAGTCCATGTACAAACTGCATTTACAAGAACCTGGTAATCTGCCTATAGTTGCTTCTACAAATAGAACTCTTTGCAGTAATATTTAAACAGGCTTAATTTAAACACCTCTCCTATTCTACTTGTAGAGCAAAGAGGTACTTATTTTTCAAGTATTATATCGTAAAAGGTAAAATTTTTTGTGCCAATTTTACATTAGCTTTTAAAGACCAAAATATTTACGTGAAAAATCATGCCTAGTCAGCCCATTTTTTTTTTAATAGCCAAATGTTCTTGTCTTTTAGAGAATGCAGAAGAATATTGATTTGCTAAGAAGGAGCACGTTGGAAAAAGCCTTTTTAAAGTACTGAAGGATAAAGAAAATTTCTTTTTCTCTATTGGCGAAAATTATTAGAAAAGCTATCCAGTCTGTTGTCTTTAGCTGGCTTTAATAAAGTCTTTTCAAAAGGATGGTCAAGAAATCTTTAGAAAACTGGAGGATGGGGATGCTCCTTTATAGCATGGAAGGAATTCTGTTAATTGTAGAAATTCTTACTAAATTTCTGCTTTGGTTCTTCAGAAGAAATGCTCATATAACTTCTATATCAGGAGACAGAAAAAAAACAAATTAGTATTTATCTAGAATCTTATTTAAAGAATACTATGATTAAATCTTACATTTCTAAAACTACTGTGCTTTTCTATATATTTTCTTATATAAGAATAAGTGATTTTTTTTCCAGAATCTTGTATTTTAACAAATTCTACCACTAGCAGGAAAACACATGTCCCCTTCCTTTACTTGAACTTAAACTATATCATCTACTTTTCTAAATGACATACATCAACTGTACTTTTCTTTGTGAAGTTAGGGACTACTATTCATTGGTCTTGTATCCTTTGTACTTGATACTTCAGGCTCCAGACATACATCAGAGGTCCAATAAGTGTTTGCTGAAAAACAGTCATGACCCCAAAAGAACCCTCTTACCATTTAAGGTCACAGACACTGGACTATGTTCTTATAGAAGTTATAGAAGAGTAAGAACAGTGAAAATGAAATGAGAGATAGATCAAAAGGTGAGGTAAAGCCTGGCACATGAAGCAGCAGGTCATCTGGAGGCCCCTTCCCCCTCTGTCAATCTGTGACACGACAGAGTGGAAAGCTGTACCAGCAGAACATCCACTAACATGCCCGTAATCAGATTATTTCCACTGGCTGACAAATGTCAGATCTGGGATGGACCTAATAGTTTCCTTGAACAATCTAGAAAAGTGGATCATTAAAGTGAAATTATACCCCCATGGTTAGTGTTCTAGAGAAGGAAAAAAGGCTAGCTTCATTTGGATAGATGCCTCAACATGGAGTTGTCCAGCTAGTTAAATTGGAAAATATTTGTTGTAAGTTCATAGATGGAATCTAAAAGACACAAAATTTGACCACAAATAATTGTGTACTGACTCCATTTAAACATGCTGAATCTGGCCAGATCAGTTCATAAAAGTATGAAGGGATGGTGGTCAATGCATGAAAGTGATCTGCTGGGAAGAGAAACTGGACAGAACTCAAACAGGTTTGAAAAGAGACAGAGCTGGGAATATGCCCCCTAATTTTAAGACTGATGAGACTGTGTTGTTGAGCTGCTGTGACCCGAGTTGGTAACTTCTGATGTTGCTCCTTACTTCTTTGCATCACATAAAGCTATTGTTCTTTTTGCACAAAGAATTCAAGTGTGAGTCCCAGAGATAGTATGAGAAAGAGCCATTGGTAGTTTCAACAACAGCTTACCGTCACTCAACAAAGGATAGAAAGACCACTGGGCTCATACACTCCTAGTTCTGAATAAGTGACCAATTCCCTAAAATCTAACTATCTTATTACATTTAAAAAGGACAATAGTTTATCATCTAAGCTGCTAAACCTGAATAAGAGAAAAATGCGAGCGCATGATGGCAGTCTTCATATAGCTGAAGATCTGGGGAAGATGGGAAAAAACACTAGTTGGGGGGGTCTAGGCCCAATGGTTCCTATGTTATGACAAGACATTAAGTGCTTGTCTTTGCAAAGCATGTTCTGGCAGTGAGGTCTGCCCTGTGAGAAGTTGATGGACACCCAGTGGGTGCTGCAGACTAGATCTGTGCTACTAGCTGGGAGAACAGGAGAGGCCCAAGAAACTCCCCAATCCAATTCAGAATTCAATTTCTATGACCTATATACAATCTTTTCCATGTGATCTCACTGCCATATGTCATAGTCACACTGCAGAAGGCGCATTCCCTCATTCAGCATCACACATTTGTGATGGTTTCTCAAGGCGAGCTTACCTGCTGTCTGTTGTGTTTGAACACCATCTACCTGAGGCAGGGGCCCAAGTGTCCCTTCATCATCAAAGGCCAAAATTGGATTCAAAGGAATTTCTGGGCTCTCGTTGGCGACATCTAATCTGGATGATTTAGATCCAATGGGTAAATTTATAATTTCCTCAAAATTTTCATTCTGAACAGATACTCCATTTTCACTTGGTTGTTTTTCCAAATTGGGAGTACTACGGAATTTGAAAAATCAAAATGGAAAGGAATTAGCATTAAAATTGGAAAACACATTAAAACACAAAAACTACTGTATAATAAATTTTAGAATTTTAGAATCAAATGTTAGATGGGTTGACCATATCATTCACAAAAATGGTGAATTTTGACATATTTGACATTCTTATTTGTAAACATGTTTTTTTGTTATAAAAATTTATCAAATGGAATAATTTATCGCTTAGAATAGATCATTATTTCAACACACATTTAACAATTTCTACTACAGGCATTTTCACACACCTTTGCTTGATAAACAGTAGCCCTTGTTTGGTTCTTTACTTCAAAGATGAGGGGATTCAGGGGGATAATCTGTAGAGTCACAGAACTACTGAGACATGGTCCAAACTGAGTACATGACCTCCTGATCTCTGGTCCTGTGTTTTGTTCATTATGGCATTTTATATACTACATGGCTATTCAAATTCTAGCTTTTTCTGGGTAGCCCTGGCTTCCTCAAACATGTACATAATTTTATAGGTAAATTGTATAAGACCAACCTTACCTTTGCCCCTTAAAAACAGCTGCTGACTAGAACCTGATTCTCATTAATTCATGCTTAATATCTTGGATCTATTTTTGAGGTACATTTAACTGGCCATCAAATCCTTAATTTTCTACCTTCAATTTCTCTGTTTTTTTCCTCTCTTTAGAACTTCTAAAACCAAACTGAAACTCACTTATATGTTCATTATTATGCCTTACAATGCAGCAAAAACAATGCCTGTGCAAATGAATGCTATATTAATTATTCACTTTTTCTGAGGGCAGCAGTAAACAGTATTTGCAATCTTCATAATTTGTTCAGTGTGCAACTCAAAATGACCCTATTTGAGGTGCCTGGGTGGCTCAGTTTTGGTTAAATGTTTGATGCTTGATATCGGCTCATGTTGTGATCTCTCAATTGTGGGATCGAGCCCCACGTCGAGTTCTGTGCTGAGGGTGGGGCCTGCTTGGAATTCTTTCTCTCTCCTCCCCCTCTGCCCCCCTCCTGCACACTCTCTCTCTCAAAATAAATAAACTTTAGAGGCACCTGGGTGGCTCAGTTGGCTGAGTGTTTGACTTTGGCTCAGATCATGATCTCATGGTTCATGGGTTCAAGCCCCGCATCGGGCTCTGTGCTGACAGCTTGCTCAGAGCCTGGAGCCTGCTCTGGATTCATGTCTCCTTCTCTGCTCCTCCTCCATTTGTTCTCTCTCTTCCTCTCTCTCTCTCTCTCTCTCTCACAAAAATAAGTAAATGCAAAAAAAATAAAAAGACCCTATTTGACAAAATTCTAGAGTTAAAATTGTCAAATGGAAGATGAAAAAGACTAAGAATATGAAGCAAAAATTGTGAAGGTTTTAACATCTAACACATACTGATCGTCAGCTGAATATTTACCTATAGAAAGAGGTCTATGAAAAGAGGCCAAAGATCAGAATAACGGATCTGTAGTATAATGCTAACTGCTTGAACTTTAACAAGTCAATTCATCTCTTTCTGTCTCCTCCCTGAATGGTAACATATATCCAATTTTTCCATTGCATTTTTTTTTTTTTTTTTTAGGAATCTGCTTTTTTTCCCCCTTGAGGAAATAGTTTGGCAAGAAGTGATGATTTTGTGGAACACATTCTCAAGCATTTCTGATTTAGATATTTTGGTATATTTTTGTTAATCATTAAAACTTCTCTGGGGGGGTTGGGAGGGAAAGCTTGTCCTAAGTGTCTCACAAGGTATTGCAGGGTATACTGAAGTTATTATTTGCAAGTCTGTGAAAAATAACATAACATTATACAGACTCAGAGTATGATGGTGCTTTTTTGCTATTTCACCAAGGAGGTCTGCATCACAGTAGTCTGCAGGAGCGTGGGTATGCACGTGCACTAATGCGTGCGCACACACGCACACAAATGCCTGACATCGCTGTTCTAAGTGCTGGGCCAGCCACCACACCCAGCTTCCAGGTTCTTTCCCAACACCTACAGGCTTTCTGTAACCAGGGAAACAGTTTTGGTTCTCATCCCAAAGAGATTTTCAGTAGACGTTTTGGCAAAAGATACAGAAGAGGAGTGTGTCTCTAAGCTTCGTTCCTTGGTTATCGCTGCCGTCACCTTCCAGGCTTGCGTGTGCTAACAGGTGCAATGGCAACACCAACCCAGACTTGAGTCAACAGTTGACTTCATTTTCCCCTCCCACTCCTAGCTGACCTCCACACCCATTCTTCCTTGTTAGCAATTAAAGGGATGATTGAGCTGTATGCTTTGGATGACCAATTACTATATGTTCAAAAGACACACTGACCAGCAGAAACTATAAAGCTGCAAATGAAGTCACTGGGGTTAGAGAGTAGGCATCTATCTGTATGTCCTCTCAGGGTAAGATCACCAGGTTTTGAATTCCTTTTTTTGGGTCATATTCTGGCAGCCAAAGCTGGGTGCAAGAGTCTTGAAGGCTATGTACTTTGCTTGGTCAGTCTAAGATCCACCTGAGGGCAGACACCTAGCTGGCTCAGTTAGTGCAGCACATATGACTCTTGATTTTGGGAGCTGTGAGTTCAAGCTCCACGTTGTGTGTAAAGACTATTTAATAAAAAATCTGCCTGAGGAATGGGGCTAGGTCTGTGGTGGGAATCTGACCGTCCATATAGCTTATTGTAGCCAGGACCTTATTCTTTCTTATTAACTTTTACTATCTTGTTATAGCAAATAACTTTAAAAGTGATACATTTCTTTCTGTTTGAATGACAGGTGCATGGGAATGTTATTTTCCCCTTGGGGGAAACTAAAAATAATTATAAACTTCTAAGATTTGGAGGAAAACCTCTAGGCCAAAAGTCAAAATCACTACAAATCCTTTAAGAGAGAAGGATCATTTTATTGAAAAGACAGGACCCAGGGCTAAGAACAGGCATGAAATATCTTCTGGGTATTAGCAGGGTAAGACAGTAGTAGCTCATGAGAATTTTTTTTAGCTACTAGAAGAGATTCTCTGCTGGGGGTCGAAGAGTATATCATAATAACCTGAGAGACTTAATGTCTGTCCTCCCTCCTCCATACCCCATACACACTTGTACTCACACATTCATCTGAATCCTCTGTTTCATGTTCCAAAGCTAAGTTTCTTACCCACAAATAAATACTCTCCTCCATCTTATGGGCTCCACCTCTATAAATACTCATTCTCAAGAACGATAAATGGTTTCTGGAATAAGAATCATCCTGCCCCGGCTCATTTATTTCTTTGTATCTTTAAAAGCTGGCCAGAATTTTGGTAACTTCAACCCTCTTCAACCTACCTATTGTCCTGTTGGGCAAGGAGAATTGCTTTCAGGCTTTAAAAGCACTGCACACCAAAGGCTGCGAGCAGGAGAAACCACAGAGGCCAGAAATGTCACTCAGGCCCCTTGAGGCTGAAGTAAGGTTCAGGCTGCACCTGGTGCAGGGTTTCTCTGCACCAAGAATGCTTGCTAGTCCTAGTACTAGATGCTAGAAAATACTAGGAGGACACTATTATTCCAGGGTGCTGCCAGACAGTGTGCTGACATATCTCCACGGGGAAGGAGAGATGAATGTAACTCAGTTTACCACACTCATTTATTTTGCCTGAAAACAAGGTAAACCAATGTATTAGGTAGCCGAGGCAGTAGGAAAAGTGAAACTTCTCCGATTCTGAACTAAAAATATTCATTCTTAGGAGTGGAGTTTTCTAGTGAGAATAAACTCTGCCGCAGTGCTGACAGCATTTGTCGTGATAGATTTCCACAGAGGGTCACCCATGTCAGGTTCTTCAGAAGGGACTTTGGGAAACTCCAATTAGTGATTTCCAGTTAATCTCCAGTTAAATCACTCCCTAGTGAGCAGGGTGGAGGGATCTAGGACTTCACTTTGGGTGCACTGTAAGGTATCTGATAAACATATTGATGGATTACAAGAATTATGGAATGCTTCACTGACCATAATGCACTCAGGTGAAAAACAATGACTTGGGAAGTGATTTCAAGGTTGACTTGAAACTGAGGGTAAAAGGGAACATCCATGGATGTGATTTGTTTGTAACTTTAAATGACAGGATTTCAGAAGTAAAAGTATTTAAAAGTATTTAAGAAAAGAATTTGCCCCCATTGAAGCAAAGGGGGTATGAGCGGGGAAATCGTCTTATAGGGAAGAGTATGAAAGGTCAGTATGAGCAGGTCCTTCTCCCGGTGGGAGAGTCTGAGTGGCAGGTAGCCTCAGGGGTCAGTGCTAACACTAGTTTTATAATAACTGGAAGGCAAGTAAGAGGAAAAATTTAAGTATCCAGATAATATTTATTCTGGGAAATGCAAGTTGTAAGAATAATCCCTTGAGGATAACAGGAAAAAATCATTAACTGTAAGCAACATAAAAGGCAGTGGGTTTAGAGACCAGTAAACTGCACCATCCTCAGAAGATGAAGAGCAGTCAGTCACAATGGAGGTAAGAGATCTATTCCTCATGGTTTTGTGGTTAAAGAAAAGGCCAATAAAATGAGAGGCATGAGAAGGTATGCTATCAGATACAATAAAAGCATTTTTCTATAACATTACATACTGTGGCTACACCAGCGTCTGTGTCTTCTGGACACCGTACTTGAGAGAGAGAAAGGTAAAATACAATCTGCCATTGGTATAGTACAACGGTTGTCAGAGCGCCATCACAGATGATATTTCAATGAACCCTCCAGTACTCTGGGAGAAAAAACTTCTTCATGTCTAGATGAGAAAACTAAGTCTTACTTAAGTAGGTTAATCCCAAAGTCTGAGAACAGAAATGAAACTAGGGAATCCAGCCTGGGACTTTTGGTTCTAAAACTCTGCTTCCTCAACCTCACACTCATGCTGAAGAATCTCTACAGAAATAGGCCTAAAATGACAAAGAGCTGAGAAGGCTTTTTAAAGATAGGGTAAACTTGTCAGGTATTGTTTTCTTTTGTTTTTCTATCCTTCATTCCTGCTCTGAAACTAGATCTGGGCCCTTTAAAAATTTTTTTCTTTTGATGTTAATTTACTGATTTTGAGAGAGAGAGAAAGTACAAGCAGGAAAGGGGCAGAGAGACAGGGAGAGAGAATCCCAAGCAGGCTCCACACTGTCAGCACAGAGCCTGACACAGGGCTTGATCCCACAACTGTGAGATCATAACCTGAGCCGAATTCAAGAGTCAGGTGCTCAACCGACTGAGCCACCCAGGTGGATCAGGGCCCTTTTGGTAATCTTCCTTTGCCAGCTGGCACAGTCTTCAAGATTCACCATTTAAGGCTGCTGGAGAGACACTGCACAAGGAAAACTGTGCTTCCTGGTTTGGTCGTGCTTGCTCGACAGGCTGCTGCAGCATGTCCCTGTGGCGCTCCCAGTGGCTGCCCTCTGCCGCATGGGGCTTCCTCTGCAGCCGGCCCCACCGTGGCAGCAAGAAGGGCCTCTCCCAGCACCTCTCTAGGGCCGACTTGTGGTAGACAAGTCTCTGCCTCTGCTGAGACACCTCTTGGTGAACAGCCTTCCCAAGCATTCTACAGGGTAGGTATCTGCCAAGTTCTACCATCAAGAAACACAGCAACTTCGGGCTGGAAACCAACTTGACTATGAACTATTAAAAAAAAAAAAAAAAAAAGAAGAAACACAGCAACTTCTTCATCATCTAGTGAGTCACAGCCATACCTTCTCCAGCAAGGTCTGAATGGAAGCCCTAGGGCAGGCAACTCTTCCTTGGGTACGGCCCAGGGATGTGGCTGCTCTTTACATCTACTATTTCTGTATTTTTTTAATTAAAAAAAATTTTTTAATGTTTATTCATTTTTGAGAGAGACTCAGTGTGAGCAGGGGAGGGGAGAGAGAGAGAGAGACACAGAATCTGAAGCAGGCTCCAGGCTCTGAGCTGTGAGCACAGAGCCCAATATGGGGCTCGAACTCACAAACCATGAGATCATGATGTGAGCGGAAGTCAGCCAACCTAACCGACGGAGCCACCCAGAAGCCCCTGAGCTATCAAAGTTTTAAACCTAAGTTTATCTTTGTGAAAATAGTAACTCTTGTATAACTCTCAGAATCTGCTAGGATTTTTTTTTCCTTAAAGTGGATGTACACTTGGGCCAATAAATTTAATCGCCTAAGGTCATTCTAGTATTACATGCTAATGTTTTCATTTGATACTAATCAGGACCTGCCTATATTGTTAGGCGACAGTACAAAAGTCTATGCTTATTATTTTTCCAATGGTTGACAGAGATCATACTACATGTATGACAAAGGACAATTTGTCACTTGGGTAAAGATGGATGACATCAGTAAGGTCATATTGCTGTACTTTTTAATTATAAACTGTTTGTTGCTTTTCTGTGTGTAGAGGCTAAAAGAAAATATCATCTATGTCCGCCTACATAGTAATCTTATATTTCAGGTATTTTTATATATAATGATTAATTGCTTGACGATTTTACCACTGAAAAAAGTCACCTAATGTGTAAACTAATGTTATTGATCAGATAAAATTATCAGTGGCTTAATAAACATTTCCTTATCATAATAATGTAGTTCTCTCTGTGGTACTTTTTCTTTCCTAAGTCTCCTTTTTTAAAGTGATGAATTGAACATCATAAATTACAGTGGCTGGGGATGAATATTTTATTTGAAAATCAAGCTGTAACTAAAAGAATAAAGTATGATTTAATATATATCTTGGCTAATGACGACAATAAATTTATTCAACATAGGTGACAGCTTATTAATAAGATCTCTCTTAGGAAAATTCTTCTCTCTGATATTATAGTGGAAAAATTAAGATTTTACTGTTCCAGAAAGATACCAATGGATGTCTTACTACTTATGAACATCTTAGGATGTCTATCTTGGGATGACTTATCTTTTCATTGCTGCCAATATTATAAAATCTTGTGCAGTGTGTGTTTTTGGATTAAGAAAAAAATTAACTTGAGGACTTTCAATTCTCTGATGGCAGCGAAGACTCTGGCATTAAAGACAGGATAACTCATATAAAATAAGTAAGTTAAAAAAAAGTCCATGGCTGAAATTTTTGAACAGTATTACAAATATTTCTAAAAGTTCTCTATGACTAGATGTTTAGGCCCAGGCTAGGATTATCATGATTTTTTCATTTTTGAGAGTGCTCTTATGATGTTGTCGATACAAATGCCAAGGAGAGAAAGGCCATCTTTTTTCAACCCATACTTCTTTCTTGACTTTCGGTAGCAACTGCTTGTTTCTTCTATAAGAAGCCCTACTACCAATATAAGAATTAGTGGCATCTAAACTATTTCACTGGAGAACCAACTGTGACTTACTAGAATATTCTGTATGGTGAAAATACAGCAGTTATGTGCCATCAAAGGGTGTGAATATGGTCTAGATCATGTTAAATATATGCAAACAAATTCCTCTCTATAATTTTCTTTAATAGGCACACACAGACCTGACTATCTACATATAGTTTTTAGTAGTTTATTTTGAGAGAGAGAGAGAGAGAGATGTAGTAGGAAGGGGAGAGAGAGAATCCCAAGCAGGCTCCACACTCAGCACATGAGATCATGACCTGAGCCCATGGCCTGAGATCGTGACCTGAGCTGTCCACCCACAACCATGAGATCATGACCTGAGTCGAAATCAAGAGTCAGACACTTAACCCAATAAGCTACCCAGGCATCCCAAACCTTTCATATTTAAAGACTCAAGTAAAAAGATATTTTCCCTTAGAGAAAGTACAGAATTACTAGCTCTACCAAAAATCACTGAACCCAAGTAAAAATAAATCTTTATGTTAACACTTTGCAACTCTGTCAGGCCTAAGTGGTGCTGTTGGGATTAGTGCTCTGCTCTCGTGTGGATCAGTAAAGAAGGCCCAGTTGTCTAACTCACCTCTCCACAGTCACTTTTGATTGGTGTGAGGTAACCGCATGTGGGCTGGCCACTGGTTCTCCATTTCCTGGAGAGTTTGTCATACACGGAAGTGCAGATACCACTGAACATAACAGCAGAGAGGATGGAACGAAGGGTTACTACTACTCTATTATCAAACCCAAACCCCAGGAGCCAGAATGCCTGCATTTATATCCTGGCTCTGCTACTTACCACCTATGTGACCTTGGGCAGGCCACAAACTGTGTCTTGGTTTCCTCATGAATAAGAATACTTACCTCACAGACTATAGTGACAATTAAAGGTATTAACATATGCAAAGTACTTACAATGGTGTCCAGCACAATATGAGGGTAGAAATCAGTGTTGGTGTTAGTTTTGGTTGCTCAATTGACTTTGGACAAAAAGTATATAATGTTGAAACCAAAGCACTTGATGAAGATAGCAGTAAGCTCACTTGATCAGGCAGACAGTGTGAGTATCTTTAGATCCAAAGCAAGTGACCATCAACTACCTCTAGTGATAAAAAATATTTTTTTAAACTCAGTTTAATTCTAGGTGCACCTAGAAGACGGGGATTTCACAAGCGGAAAGCCAGTGAATTGTATGTAACTGTGATACCTCTTCATTCAGTGCTCCATGCCACAGTCCAGCTAAAGCCAACAATACTGATGACCGACTCTAAAATCTGGACCAGTGTTACTTATAGTCTTGTTAAGCCTTCATAAAGGTCAGAGTTCCGGGGAAATTTGTGGCAGTTTATGGTTTCAGCTTGACATGAGAGAGTAACTGAAATAATCCCAAGGAAGTGTTATTTCATAGCATAACGCGAACTCAGTATCACTTCTAGAGGTACAGGGAGTCTGATAACTGGACTTTATTGAAGATGCCAAAACTTGCAAAGCTAGTAGTAGGCAGCCTTGGAGATTTCTGATAGGTCTGAAAACTCACCTGCTTGCCTACCCTAGAATTCTCTTTGAAGCCCTGGCAACAGCATTCAGCCCTCAACCACACATGGGACTGGGCAAAGAGGAGTATTTGTTAGCCAGATAAACCTCTGGCCCTTGTTGGCAGTATTAACTCAAACCAGACTTATTGTGAGTGTTGATAAACATGGATAGGCTGATTGGCAAGTTTCACCTTCCCTCTTGCCTCTGAATTCTCAAGCTGAGGTACGAAGAATATTGAAAGAATTGTTAGGGGAATAGCAGGAAGGGGGAAGGTGGAAAAACAAAGAAAAAAACCCAGGAACCTGGCCACGCACAAACTACAGCTCAGCCCCTCAAATAACCCGACGTTGGTGCAATTTACATCCTAAAATGCTCATTCTGATGAATCATTGGGAGTTACGCCTTCGAAGGCTCTCCACGTATTACAAGATTCGTGGAGACAACCTGTTAATAATGCAGTGGCGTTAACAGGCAACCACAAGGGTTACCTTCCAGACAAATATAATTAGGGCATCTTTAAAAACCAGGAAAAGTCTACTATGAAGGAATCATGAGTCATTTGGTCTTTAGTCCAGTCTTAAAAGAAAAAAACACAGCAAAGGAAAGTGAGGGATCTCTGGTCCTTTCTTATCATATTGATACTGCAGAAGAGGAAAGAGGAAGACTACACGATGGGCAGCCTACCACCTATCTGCATGCACAATCATGAAGACCCCGTGGGGTCACAGAGGAAGAGTCACAAGCTTGGGCTCCAGCTGTGTGAGCTGGGCCGGTCACGCTGCTCCTTGGGGGAAGTGAACCGGCCTGTCCTGTTCACACTGACACGCAGCACCTGCAATGAGGCCTGGCACCTGGCAGGTTTCTGGAAATGCCTGCTGACTCCAAGATAAAGCACTTCTACCTCACAAGCTGCAGTGGAAGTTCAACAAGAAAATGGATGCAGGATGTACCTGACACAAAGAGGCCCCTTAATAAATACTAGTTGAACCTGGGAACTAACACACTAAGGCAACTTTTATTTAAGCAAATTTCGTGGATAATTAGCAAGAAATTAATTATCTCTGTCCAAAGCCTATAGGTCTCAACAACTTTCTAATGAAATTTTAATAAATTTTTAATTGTAATTCTATTCTTAAGTCAGAAGTTAAAAAGGTAGAAATTCTTTTTTGACAACTGCTGTAAATACAAGTTTTCAAAATGTGGAAGTTTAGCGTCCTTAAGAGCAAATAGAAATACATGCTACTTTAGCAGACAGTAAGTGATAAATGAAATTTAATTTTATAACAAAATTCTTCTAATTATGTGTGTGTATATATTTATGTGTGTATAAATATGTTGTATATACATAGAACTATACAAATATATATCTCTATATATGGATATTTATAATGTAAAATGACCTAAGATATTAAGCACACCATTAGAGTATAAACAAATGTGAAAAAACACCTGCCACAAATACAAGAGTTTTCCATAAGGGGAAAATCTGTGCATTAGATGACACACACCTACACTTCTGTGCGTCAGTGAGTAACTTTTTTGTGTGTACTCAATCAAGGAATATCTTGATCTCTAGGGAGTCCATCTAAAAACTCTTATCTACATTGGAATTTATTTGAATTCACTGAAGCAAATACCTGTTTCTCCAGTGAGAGCTCCCTTGGTTATATCTCCATTTCTCTGATCAACAGTTTTCTACAAAAAAAAAAAAAAGAAAAAAAGAAGAAATAAAAATATGACTTTTTAATATTAAAGTTACAAGTGAAAGGGGAAAAAAGCCTTTAAGAATAGTTTAAAAACAGCCATCTCAGTACCTTATCTGTAGCTTCTGTTCTTCTCGTTCTTTTCATAATCTCCTCAAGTCGCTACAAGGAAGGGAGAATTGAGCAAAGGGATCAGATCCAGAAAGAAGGCTAGCCTGGCACATTTCACTGACTAAGCAAATGGGTCATTAAAACACGTCTGTTACTTTGGGTAATTGTAATACCCAGTGCTTTGTCTTAACTGGCCTTATTCACAAAGCTGGAACTGACTGAAGCCAGGTGAGTCAGAAGGAACTGTTTTTGGTGAGGGCCCCATCACGAAGCCTGATTGCTCTGGAGGAGATGAGGGATCCTGAGAGCTACTTTCGATTATCTGGAAGGGGCAGAACACGCGTGCTTTCTGAGAGCAGTGAGCTAGTCTCTGGGTGTTCCCACGGCCTCAAGCCTGGGAAGAATGGGCACTATTAGCATCCCAGGGTTCTGCCTTAGATGCAATCACCTTCTTTCTTTCCAGGCGCTCCTGCTCTTCTCTCTGGAAGTGCTTCTCCCGCTCCTGCCGAACCCTCTCTGCTTCCTCACGAACTCGAGCCTCTTCTTCCTTCTGGAAACAAGTTGGCCTGAGCTTCTGGCCAACAGGGTTGCCCACTGCCCCCCATCCTTGGGTGGGGGGGAGGGGGGAAGGGGTGCTCCCGGGAGGTGGAGGCTGGGGGGAGTACCTGCACCCCCACACTGGACTCCGCCCCCCCCCCCCAACAGGGCCCCGCCGGGCGGGCCCCTACCTGCTTCTGCGCACGCTCCTCGCCCTCGCGCTCGCGCCGCTCCCGCTCCTCCTCCGCCTGCAGGCGCAGCTGCTCTTCCCGCTGCAGGGCCTGCTCAGCCTCCAGCCGGCGGGCCTCCTCCTCGCGCCGCGCCCGCTCCTCCGCCACCTTCTGCGCCAGCTCCTCTCGCTTTTGTCTGCAAAAAGACGTGAGTGGGGCTCCCTGGAGAGAGGCTCGGGGGTTTGTGGCTCCAGCAGGGCCAGTGGGCTCTGAGGGCTGGGGACACTCAGCGTGGTTCGGGGGCAAAATGTGAAGCCACGCTCCATGCTTCTTCCTTCTGGGCCTCATGTGACCTTGTGGGAAGCAGAAGGAAAATGCAACCACGAATATTTCGAGGAGCGCTTGTTCTGTGAAAGGGTGTGCATTTTAACTATCCTTAAAGGCCGAGACTTGTTTAATCCACTACGGTGACATTTTAGTAATAAATTCGACCCCCTTCCCGCAAGGAAATCTTTGTGAATAAAGGTTATAATGTTCCGTTTCAGGAGCAGGAGGAAGATGGACCATGTGAGCTCCCTGTTGTGATCAAGGGTAGGGCACGTCCCAAGTTTGCTGCCAGTACAGGGGCTGCTGTCCCCCGCCCCCGCAAGGTGCTGTTTCCCTCATTTGAAGAAAATTGCATTGACATTGGTTTTTTAAGCCCCAGGATGAGGCCAACTAAGCAAACTGTCCCTACAGCATACTTACAGGCCATCATGTGGACACCTGACTCTCACCTAGCAACTCTCCAGAGTTCTATCTAGAAGAAGACATGAACTCTTATTATGCAGCTTTAAAATGGTAATTAGATAATAAGGAAATATGGAGATCAGAAATATGTTCAGTAAAAAAAAATGTACAATTGTACCTCTACTGTGCTTATAATTATGTAAATAGATGCCTGTGTGTACATACTTATGTATATAAATATGCACACTGTTCAGAGCCTGGAATGGATTACCCCAAATCCACTCTTTCAGTTTTTGAAACTGCATTTCAAATTTTGGATCGATTTTTTTTTTCCTTTAAGACCTTCTCCTCCATCAGTGCTGTGACACTGTCATTATATTAAGAAAATGTTTTTAAAAAAAAATCACTTAGCGGTCAGAGACACGATTGTGAAGCAGCTAATCTGTTCGCCGTCATCACTGCTACCATCTCTTGTCTCTCGGAGGGAAGACTTAATCCCTAGGAGGTCACTGCTCACTGAGCACGGCCACTGCTTTACCTTTCCAGCTCTTCCCTCTCTCTCTTCTCCCTTTCTTCCTTCTCTCTCTGCTCTCGGGCCAGCCGCCTCTTCTCAGCTAGCAGCCTGGTGGCCTCTTCCGGGTCGGTGGTGCCCGCAGAGGTCTTAGGAGAAGCGCTAGCAGTCACAGCGGATGGCGAGGCTGAGGCTGGGGCTGGGACCGGCGCTGGAGCGGGGGCCGCGGCTGGCGCTGGCGCTGGCGCTGAAGCAGCTGTACAAACAGGTACAAGGAGAAAACCAATTGGAAACAAAACCCAAAGAACAAAACAAAAACCAGCATTCCCCACACCCCAGGCCTAGAATTCATCATTATAAAAGAAAAGGGAATGTTTATTACCGTGTGTTCTCACGGTTTCACTGTATTCTATTTGTAACCAAGCAACAGATAACAAAAAGATGCATGTGTAAGTGAGCCATCCAGCAGAGCTCACGCTCGGTCACCAAGTCTTACTTTCGTACGAGTTAATCAGTTAACAGCATATATCGAATGTGTACTCGGTATAGAGCCTCATGCTGGGTTTTGTGGGAAGTTATACGCGGAGCAAAAGGAAGATGAGATCTTCCATTTGCCTTTCATTACATTAAAAAAATTCCTTCTCTTTAGTGACTATTCATTACTAGAGGACTAAAGCCTTTCTATGAGCATCCTCGGCGTCCCTGCCACGAGCCCAGATTCAGGCTGGGAAGATGACACGGGGCGAAGAGGTCCCTTTTGTCTACCCAGAGGGGTCTCCAGGTCTGAGGTGGGAGGAGCCACAGGCCTCTTCAGGAGCGGGCACTAGGATTCGCATACATGTGGGCCTCCGCTGTCCCTACTGATGTCAGGATGGAGGCCAAGTCCTCTGGCCTTACTCAGACTCAGGAAACGGCAGAGAGAGCGGATCCAGGAGGGAGTCCCACGCAGATGCACCGCTGTGAGATGTGATCTCTAGCATTCTAGACCCTCCTTTCAAGATTCCCCTGTCTCCTGCTCCTACACGGTTTTCTTTGCCCTCAGGCACTTTTTGGCCTTTCTCTTCTACCCCTTTCCATGCAAACAAATATTGGACTTTCACTATCTAACAACCCTGTCACTTGTCTTGAATCATCTATTCTTTCTTTGCTTCTACCCCCATCTTCAAATTAAGTCTTAAGGGGAAAACTTTTGAATGAAGACAATTTTCAACAAAAAATACTGAATCTCTAGTTCCAGGTGATTTTAAAATTCTGAACCGTGTCTGGTTTAGCCTGGCAGAGATGAGATCCACTGGGTCTTCTGAAACAAATTCTGTCAAGCACAGAGGCAAGCCAGTGGTCCTTAAACTCCTGTAGGCACAGGATAACCGGCCATTCTGTATTTTATCTGGCAATCCCGCACAGGAACTGACAGCTGAGCTCAGTGTCTTTCAGAGCCCCTGGATCTACCACATACTTGGATTCAGCAGGTCTGAGGTAGGGCCAGGGCTCTGTACTTTGAAACATTACAGAAGTTGGTGGATCAAAAATATTTCCATAAGATCTTCCTTCTAAAAGGTAGAGGAGACTAATACACTTCACTTGAGTGTAAGTTGAACCTACTGACTTGCTTCTAAGGAAGAGAATATGACGGAAATTGTGACTTCTGTGTGGAGGACTTCTGAGACCAGGCATGAAAGGGGTGGCTTCCTCGTGATGCTGTCAGATCACGCTCTCTGGGGAAAGCCAGCAAGTCCAGCAGATGGACTGTGAGGATGTCAAGTGACCCACGTTCACATGTCACGAAATGGAGCTCAGCGATGTGTATGCACCACCTACCAACGACCCAGCTAAGCTGCTTCCAAACTCCTCACCCCAGAATCTGTGTGACATAAGAACTGTTATTATAAGCTGTGAGGTTTTAGGATAATTTGTTACACAGCAATAGATAACGAATATAAATGATCCTGATGCAGGGGGTCTGAACACCACATTCGGTGAATCAGTGGACTCAGCCAATAAAAGGAATCATAGCACATACCTGAATTAATTAATATACTATGACTCCAAAAATAGGATTTTTTTGACTGGATGATTCTTTGTATGTAAAAAAAAAAAAATCACACTTAGGAAAAGTTCCCCAAATTAACCTCAATAAAATTTCCAAGGCGCCAGTAAGAGCAAGCACTCGACACTCCATCACAAGCCAGCTGAATCTTACCGGGAGCCTCTGGTTCGACAGGTGTCCCCTCTTCAACTGTGGCTTCTTCCACCTTCACTAGAGGTGCTCTGCCCTTAAGTGATGGCTCACTGGCAACTTTCTGGGGTTCCTTCTCAGGGTCTTTTCTCTCAGGGTCCACTCTGACCTCTCTCTTGACAGGGCGGATGTTGCCAGGGGACAGGGGCCGGACCTGGGCAGGGGCAGCTTTGACTGATCCGGGAGGCAAGGAGGAGGCTGGTCTGGGGGTGCCAGGCAGATGAGGAAAGGACTTGGATGGAAGCCTGGGTGACACACAGTGGCAAGAGAATGGGAGACATCAGAGTGGGCTTGCCAGAACCTTCCTTTCCCCACGCTTCTACCCCATAATAGTCCTAGAACACCGATAAGGAAAAGAAATGAAGATATTTAGCTGTGTGTATTTGTCTTTTATGTGGCAAACACAGAAATATTCACTTCAGAGACTCACTCCTGTTTTCTTTTTCCTTTCCTCCAAGGAAAAATATTATTCCCTAAGTCAGTACCAAACAGTGTTGGAGAGAAGAGTTTCCTTTCAGAGACCAGAGGGAACAAATTCTTCAACATGGAACAACCCAGCCAGCCTCTTGAATTTTGCTTACCAAAGTCGGGAGGGAGCTGGTGATCTCGCTTTGGGATGAGATGGAGATAGAGCCCTCCGAATGCCACATGTGGGTTGGAACGGGAGGTTTTCTCTCTCCCTGTCTCTTTTATAGCCCTAAGTTCAGAGAAACACAATAAGTAGATTCTGCTATAGGAGTGGGACAATCCCATTCACAGCATTCAATAGCGGAGCTGCAACCCACTGAGTGACTTCTTGGAAATTTTCCAGCCTTTGTCATATATGTCCATTCCACTCCCACAAAAAGCCCTTGTTAGCTCAAAACTGGATCTTGTAACTAAATGAACACAATCTGACATAATTAAGCTCTGGATGTCTGATCTGGAGTTATATTTGTTAACACACACACACACACACACACACACTCTTAGAAAGCACCTATATACTTTGTGCCTAAAATCAGCTGGGGCAAAATCTCTGGTTTAAACCACACAGGTATCAAAATAAACAGCACTTCCATTCCTCTCTCCCCACTATTTGAATTCTTCAGCATTTTTTTCTTCTTTTTTTCCTACCTTGGAACATGAACATAAATGTACTTAGTCTTTTTTTTTTTTAATAATACCTGTCTGCTACATCAGACATTAATATATTTTTCCCTTTATACTGATACTACATAAATAAGTCCTTTTTTACCTAACGTCCTCTTACTTTTGTAGGAAAAGTTAGGTTCAAGGTGAATTTTAGCTATTTTTAATCTTCTTTAAGGATAAATTTGAAATGGGAGAGTGGGTCAAAACATCATCCCTTTTCTAACTGCATCCTAGAAATTCAGCCAGAGAGTGTCGAAATAAGCAAAGGGAAACCCAGTGTTCTGATAACCTAGAGTCAGCCAAGACAAAAAGACCAAAAAAAAAAAAAAATGCACAAAGCAAGAAAGACTCATTCTAAGTATCTAAAGCTTGCCAACAATGTTCTGGCCTGGGAATGGATACTCACTGGACGCACCTGTGTGAGCACCTGTCAGTCCTCTACTCTGTTAGGACCCTTGTGGGAAAGCAGACTATGAGAGTCCAAGGGAAGAGCCAGAACTTCATCTATCTTATCTAGCCGCAGGGCCAAGAAGCTGGTAGTGTCCCTTCTCTTCTTTCTGCCCGGTGCAAGCATCAGTTCCCCTCTTCCTCTTTTTCCCACTTTCGTTTCCCTTCAGTGTCCCTTCTAATTGTTCCTTTCCACTTTCTTTAGTAGCATTCTAGTTGACTGACAGGGCTGTAGGCGGGGAGTAAACATGATTATCAAATAAGACTCAATGTCTTCTCAGAATTTCTGAAAAAAAAAACAAATGAAGACTGGGGCAGGAAAAGGTTTTACAAGATGTGTGCCAGCTCTATAGCACTTGTGGCTGCACGGCCAGCCTTTGCCCCATTTCTGGTCCCAGAAGGTACGAGGTGAAGTGAGGCCTCAGAGGAGCTGTAGTCCTTGGGCACAGAAGTGGCAGCCAGCACATGGGACCCTCTGGAAGGGATACAGGGTGGCGATTATGCCTCGGGAATATCAGAGCCAGATTGGAAGGCCCAGGGCTCTTCCCAAGAGAAGTTGGGGTTATGCAAGAAGCAGCTTTTTCCTTTTTCTGGAAACATTTTAATTTGGCTGAAGACAGATTAAGGAGAGATCTGAATGGGAAAATAAGTCAGGAAGAGTAATTTGTGATGTGGAGGATACAGGGATGAATTTCATCACCTGTGTCTAGATAACAGAGGTGTTTTGGGAATGAACCTACAAAGACCTGTATAATCCGTCTTTTTGCATTAAAAAAAAGTCTTCTTTTGTTAAAAATGACATTGAATCAATTCTTTCCTAAAGCTGACCTCCCTTAAAGGGGTAGGGGAAACAGGGAAGGAGCAGTTTAGAAAAATGCCCAATACTTAAGATAACATCCTCTCAGGCAGGTAGATGCTTTTGCCTTCTTAGTTCTTTTAAATGTCTTTTCATTGGTCTTGCACCCAATCACCTATTTGGGGGCCACACATGTAAAGGAATTCCTTATCCTCATCCTGATCTGAGTTATGGCTGATGGTCTATACCGTAATCTTCCCTGTTAATAATTTCCACAAGGCTACACTGTGGTGGGATGCACACAGCAAGGTGTCAACGGTGTGGACAAGTTTGCCAGCAGGACAAAGACTTTCATTTTACAATTAAAGTTAGGTTCAGAATACAAATAACTTTCAAGAGGCAATATCGACAGATCCTCCAAGGCAGACTGAAGTCCAACAGAACTTTCTGTGATGACTGAAGTAACCGACATCTATGCTGTCCAATATACTGGCCATGTTTGGCTATTTGAGTTTAGGTCTAAATTAATTAAAATTAAATAAAATTGAAAAATTTATGAAAAGCAATTCTATTTATAATAGCATCAAAAAGAATTAAATATTTAGGAATAAACTTAACCAAGAAGACAGAGGACTTGTTTGCTGAAAACTGAAAGGCATTGCTAAAAGAAATTAAAGAAGACAAATGGGAAGACATTCTATGTTCACACACTAGAAGGCAGACTTCTTGTTAAAATGTCAACACTGCCCAAAAGGATCTGCAGAGTCAATGCGGTCCCTATCAAAATCCAATGTTGTTGTTTGCAGATACAGAAAATCCTCAATAAATTCATATGGAACTTCAAGGTACCCTGAATAGATAAACAATCTTGAAAAGGAAGAACAAAGTCAGAAGTCTTGTACTTCTGATTTCAAAACATAATCAAAACAGTGTGGTACTGGCATAATGATAAACATATGGACCAGTGGAATAGAGAGCCCAGAAAGAAATCCTTGTGTATATTATCAGAGGATCCTTGATAAGGATGCCAAGACTACTCAGTGGGGAAAAGACTGTTTCTTCAACAAACAGTGCTGAGAAAACTGGATATACACATGCCAAAGAATGTAGTTGGACCCTACCTTATACCATATACAAAAACTAACTCCAAATGGATTAAAGACCTAAACCTAAAACTTAAAACTATAAAATTCCTGCAAGAAAACTGAGGAAGCTTCATGACATGGTTTTTGGTAACGATTTCTTGGATATGATACCAAAAGCCCACAACAGCAAAAAGACATAAATGGGACGACATCAAATGCAAAAACTCCTATGCATCAAAGGATACAATCAACAAAGAAGGGAACCTACAGAATGAGAAATATTTCCAAATCATATATCTAATAAGAGATTAATATCCAGAACATGTAATATCTGGAGTATGTAAACATTCTATAAGTCAACAAAAAATTTAAAGATTAAACAAATTAAAGAATAAGAATAAAAGAGGAGCAAAGGACTTGAATAGATTATTTCACCAAAAAAGATATGTGAATGGTCAACAAGCATACAGAAAGATGCTCAGTATCATTGATCATTAGGGAAATGCAAATCAAAACCATAGTGAGATAGCACCTCACACCATTATGATGGCTACTATGAAAACAAAAACAAAGAAAATAACAAGTGTTGGTGAAGATGTGGAAAAATTGGAACCCCTCTGTACTATTGGTGGGAACGGAAGTTAAATGGGGCACTGCTATGGAAGACTGTATAGCAGTTCCTCAAAATATTAGAAACAGAATTACCACAAAATCCAGCAATCCCACTTCTGGGAAAATATCCAGAACAGCTTGGAGGCAGGATCTTGAAAGAGATCTGTTACCCACATATATAGCAGTGCTATTCATAGTAGTCAAGAGGCAGAAGCAACTCAAATGTCCATCAGCAGATGAATGGATTAACAGAATGTGGTGTATATGCGTGTGTTTGTCTGCATATGCATAAACACAATGCAGTATTATTAGCTTTAGGGAAAGAAATCCTGTCACATGCTCCAACACAGATGGACATTATGCAAAATGAAATAAGCCAGTCACAAAAAAGATAAATACTATATGATTGCATTTATATGAGGTATCTAAAGAGGTCAAATTCAAAGAAACAGAAAGTGAAATGGTGGGTTGCCAGGGATTGGGAGAGGAGAAAATGGGGAATTGTTACTCAGTGGGTATAGTTTCAGTTTTGTAAGTTTTTTATTTATTTATTTATCTATCTATTTATTTATTTATTTATAAATAGTTTATTATCAAGTTGGTTTCCATATAACACCCAGTGCTGAGAACAAACTGAGGGCTGATGGGGGTGGGAAGAGGGGAAGGGGGGTGATGGGCATGGAGGAGGGCACTTGTGAGGATGAGCACTCACTGGGTGTTATATGGAAATCAGTATTGCAAGATTTAATAACTTCTGAAAAATATATGTAACACTACTGAAATGTACACTTAGAAACAGTTAAGATGGTAAATTTTGTTATTTTTTATACCGTAATTAAACATTTTTAAAAAGGAAATTAAATTTAAAATTCTGTTTGTTATTCTCACGAGCCACTTTTCAAGTACTCCATGAGCAACTGCAGCTGTTTGCTCAAATGAATCCCAGAGAGCAGCTCTGAGACAAAAGTTACCTGTGAGTCACTTTCCGGAAATAGGTATTTGCCTAAACATTTGGTTGTAAAGAGATGAAAAGACAACCAGTAAGTCAATACAGAAAGAGGAAGGCATTAAAAAAAATTAAAAATGGGTGAGAAAGTAGAGTTTCTGGATCGGGTGATGACAAATCCCTCTCATTTAACCTGTCAGCCAGGGGTAACTCTCATCCTTCCCTCCCAGCGTGTTAGGTTGTGTTTTTTTTTTTTTTCCATAACGAGGTATTTTTCCTTTGGGAAGTACTCTTCCCTCTCCAGCAAGTATTCAACCTTTGGGGACCAAGCTGTTCACCCCAACTATTGCTTTTTATCCACAACTAGGCGCTCTGAAGCACCAATGTGCAAATGATGAAAAACTACCCAGATATCAAAGGTAGTCTCACCTTTGGCTTGTAGGGCTGGAGGTCTGACTCAATCGTGAATTAAACACTCATTCCTGATAGCCTGGGGCTTGAAGGTAAAGGGCCTGTAGGCAAAGCCATCAAGCTCTCACAACCCTCAAAGGATCCTCAAACAGTTAGGAAACCTCCTTTTAAATATCCAGCAGCTTTATACATCTGAACTGCTCTGGGAAGTTAAGATTTAAAAAACAAAACAAAACAAAACAAAACAAAAAACTGATCTCCGTTCAATCAACAGGTCATGGTATTGCCATGGAGAGACGCGTGAGTCTTCTGGTTGACTGGGGAGTCCTTCAAGACTACAGTACAGGGGCGCCTGGGCGGCTTAGTCGGTTAAGCGTCCGACTTGCGCTTAGGTCATGATCTCGCGGTTCGTGGGTTCGAGCCCCGCGTCGGGCTCTGTGCTGACTGCCAGCTCAGTGCCTGCAGCCTGTTTCAGTCTGTGACTCCCTCTCTCTCTGACCCTCCCCTGCTCACGCTGTCTCTCTCTCTGTCTCCTAGAAATAAATAAAACATTAAAAAAAAAAAAAAGAGTAAAGACTACAGTACAATCACTGAAGACCACACAACAACGTCTGCTCCTTTTGACGGATACTAAATAACCCAAGAGTCTGAGGAAGAAAGACGCACGGAGGCATACGAGTTCCCTCACTGCATGTATGGCATGAAATTAATTATAGGTGAAAACTAATGTTAGCTCAGCCATCTTGCCAGTAACTGCAAGTACGAATTATATTCTTCACTTGCAAAACAGGAGTCTATAACACAGCCCAGTGGCCTTTCAAGAATTAGTTACTTAGCAAATCACTAGTGTCTTCAAAATACTTGTCACTACGTTTTAAGATCTGAGCCCTGACGGGAACAGATGAGGTAGGCAGACAAGAATTCTTTATTTTGCTTTTTGGGGAGGCACACTGAGAGTTCAGCCAGCTTCTGGATACAAGGGCTTTTATAAAATGCAAAGGTGGAGGCCCAGACCCGCCTCCCCGTCAAAGGGTTTCTAACGTTCAGAAACGTCAAAGTGTGCTGGCATCGCACTGGTTTGCATGGAGACGCCCGTGCGCTACTTCGGCCACTCGCGCGCACTTAGCCAAGGAATAGTTTCCATCTTCAAATTCACGTTTTTGGGGGGAACGAAACTCCCGAGTGGAGAGGAAGCGCGGGACAGCACGGCCCAGGTGCAGGCACCTCCCACTCCGACACCCACACCGCACCTCAGGGTGGCGCCCGTCCGCTCGGACGTGCCCGGCGGCTCCCAACGGCTACTCACCGCTGTGCCATGAACAGTCCTCCTCCGCGCGGAGCCCTCCGGTGGGGTTACCAAGAATTTGGGTCGATCCGTCAGATTTCTAGAGTGTGCGGCTTTGTAGGGCATGATGTTGATGGGGCTGCAAGACGCTGAACGAGGACAAATGGGGGTGACTAGGGCGCAGGTGACTGTTTTACACACAAGAATGCCAGAGGGCAGGCGAAGGAAAGCCAGAAGCAGGTTCAGGAAAAGGAGCAAAGCAGAGATAGAGAAAAAAGTAGGGAGAAGATGTTATTACCTACAGGTGTCCAGAACCATCGTATTCAACTCTCCTCACAGTCCTATCAGTTTACAGTGAGTCCAAAAAGAAGCCATGTCCAAGTGACAACTCTAGACCATATAAGCTATTTGGTTCTTTAGGTACTGATTAAAGATAGAGATGTAATCTAACATGGAAAGCAATGGCCTGATCTTCCTATGAACTGATGGTTCTGGTAGAATGCTACGTTAGTGACAGATAATTTTTATATAAGGACTGTTTATAATTAGATTTTTCCTAATTAGCTTTAAGATGGAACAGAAGGTGCAGAGACAGGAAGCAAGCAAGCAGGCAAGCAAGGTACACTCCAGCTATTTCCGGAGTAAAGTTCAACAGCCAGTGGAAAAAAACAACTGAACTTTTATAATGTTAAGTGACCAAGTCTTACCAGGTGTTAAGACTTGTTTTTACAAAGATAACTAATAATTTCCAGAAACAAATTTTGTAAACGTGTTGTCTATTTAAAGGCAAATCGGATGCGTGGCTTCTGGGTTTTCCCAAAAGCCAGGGCATTTGATGGTTTATAACAAGCGGCAGGACATAAGCAGAGACAGGGTGTAATCATTCAAAATGATGAACAGAACATAAATACGTTAGAAATGCCAAAAATAAAGTTAAATCATGAACAGCTTTTACAGTTTCACTCGGGTTGGTAAAGGTTTTGAAAAATCACATCGTTTCTGACCATTCACATTCACAGGAACACTGTCATGAATCAAGTGGTTCTGAGCAACAACAGGTTTAATATTTAGCACTACACAGGTACCAAAAGTGTGGGTACTAAGGTTCCAAGGCTCATTTTCAGATCTCACTGAGAAACCCTGTTCTCTAGCAAAAACATAAGACAATTAAACATGACGCCTGAGGAGAACACTATGTGTTTGGATGATGTTATAAAATGAATTTACCCACTTACAGCCATTGTAGCAAACCTTTAAAAAGACCATTACTTCAGCTATGTATAATAGTATTTATTAATAAATTGAAAACCCGCAAGTTGGAAATTTTGGAATTGTAGAGGTAAAAAATACTTGTTATTTACCTATAGACAGAAAGTGGGCCAGATTGCTTATTTATTCACGTGCTCTGTCATTAAATGAGTTGTAGTATCTGCTGGTTCACACTGAATGGTCAAGGCAGGGAATCGACCAGAAACTGCATTCTCTTCTCTAATCCTCTGAAAACAGAAGTCTGTTTCTTCAGGATAAACTAAAACACTTTGCATTCTCCCTCAGTTCTCCTTAAAAGAATATGTGTATCTTACCTGGGACTGACATAAAGATTTGCTTCAGACCTTAATGGTGAAAGATGATGTCTTTATTGTAAGAAAGGAGAACCTTGTCTCATTTAGCTTGTTGTGATCACAGGGAAAACTATTGAGCGTAACCCTTTTTTCAAGTCCTACAACAAAGCATTTGCATTTCCCAGACAAGGAAGAGTTGAATGAAAAATGCTTCCGAGCCAATCAAATGCATTTAAAGAATAACATCCTAGCACACAGCACCTCTGTGAGATTACTGACCAGAAGAGGCACATATTGTCCAGGGGCACAGCCAGAGGCCATTTACCTTGCTCAAGGATCAAGAAGCCCTAGACAATAGCCCAGCTGAGGTCAAGGGTCTGACACGAAAAAGGAAGCACAGAATTATGATATCATTTTCCCCCATCTCCTCATGCCTCTGTTCGTTCTTTATACTAGCACTGAGGTAATATTGAGTAAAGGGAGAAATTTCCCTCAAATTTAATTGTTCAAGAAACATCGCCTGGCTAAGATAAATACTGCAAATCCTTTTTAAGGATATTATGTTTCATAGAATTCATGTTCTGAACAGCAACTACTGAAAACCCTGAAAGCTTTTAAATCAATTATCTTTAAAAAAAATGCATCTTGCCTTTCTAAAGAGTAAGAGCAATAATATATAGTTGTTATTTTGATTTTCCCAGAATGCCCTCTGTATCCCAAAATTAATAAACATGAAAATTCTTCTATGGAGTGTCCAGCAGAAAGTCTTCCACAGTATCTGTGCTTCCTTCTTTCTACTTTTGGTAGCCACGGTGCATTAATCTTGCTTATTCAAGATTTTCTAAAGGAGCCATATGAAAAGGTCCAGAGAAAAGATAATGCAGTACAAGTGGTTGGAGTGCTGCACAGAGAATTGAAAAATTACAAAAGAGAATCATAATAAATAACATTTATTGAGTGCCTACTATGTGTAGGTACCGCTCTAAACATTTTAGATGTATCAACTCATTAAATCTGAGCTCTAATAATCACAGGAATTTTTATTACATGGGCACGGAGAAGTTAACCCAAAGCGGTGGCCACAAATAAGAGGTAAGAAACTTCCAAATTTCAAGTGCTCCAATTGCTTGTTCTGGAAGTCTGCAATCACCAAACACTCTGGGGGAAAGGATGGCTATCTTGATTTGCCACGTAATCCTGGCTCTGATGTAGGCCATCCTCTTACCAATGGCAAGGGGATATATGATGAACTCAAGGGACAACAGTAAAATGGAAAGAAGAGAATAATCGAGGAGAGCAGATGGAAAAATCAAAGTGATGGATAAAGTGTTTCTGACAAGAGAAATGTAAGCGGTGTTTACATATATCATTTCAAATGGGAAAAAAATTTAAAGACAACAGTTTTGGTTCATTAAATATAAGTTGTATCAATTCAATCAACAGGTAACAATGATCTAAGGAATGTGTTAATAAGACCGGCAACTCAACTAAAGGTCTATGCATTGCTTCACACTAAAGTAAATTACAGAAATGTATCAATTTGTGGAAAAGGAGAATGGGAAAGTTGCAAAGTAAAGAACAGCCAGTTAGCAGGTAAAAAGCGCCCTGACTGTGTGTAACAATGAAGAAGGAAGGTGGGAAGGAAGGTGGGAAGATGAGCCCGCAGAGGTGGGTGGAAAATGAGGAAATGGCACTGGACAAGACTGGAGGGGAAGCGAGAGAATTGACACAAGTTAGTGGTGACAGAAACTGCAAAGACAGACACTTTTCAGCAATGAGGCAGTAAGTTAGCATGAAACCACATACAGTGTGGAGATTCCAAAGTATGAGAGGCCTGAACTATTTAGATCCTATGAAATGGCAATGAAATAGCAATTAAAGCAATTTTAAAGGTTCCTCAATTAGCTGGACGTACGGAAAAACTTTCATGACTTGTGTAGAAACATGACACTCACAGACAGAAAAACTATCTTGAAGTAAGAAAAATCTCGGATGCAATGTGACAGCTGACAAGAGAGCTCTCGCAGAAAACACAGAACACTGCGGTCCAGCTAATTGAATGCATAACTGTACACAGGGCCTCACGCCAGGGTGCTGAGGATGGAGGGGGTAAGCGCAGTTAAGACCCAATCACCAATTAGAATTCAAAGTGGCTCTGGTAGATGTCACTCATAGTCCGGACACTTGGTTTCCTCAAGCAGGTAGTACGAATGTCTACTTGATTTCTGACTGCCTCCTGGGGGTACTGTGAGAATTAGGGTTGCTATTAGCTCACTGGGCATCATGGATGAAAAAGAAATCATAAAACCACCAAGAATAATCTGTAAAGAGGGCTAATGATCATGAAGAGACTTGCTGAGGCAAAGTATTTTTAAAGGGAACTTTACGAAGAGGCTGTGTGATTTCCAGTGCCAAAGACAAGGGATGGTAGACGGGTTATGGGGATCTACTGACGGTGCCCAGAGATATTTGGGAAAACCAAATCGACTCACCACAAAAGAGATGTTGCCAAAAGCCAAATACGTATCTCTCTTTCCAGTGAGATATCGGCTCTACACTAACTTCTCATTAAACTAATTGGCTTATTCGGGCATGCTTTGCATTTCAAAAATGTAGAGGAGTTATAACTGATTATAATAACCAGTGTTTGGCACATTCTCCATATTTTCAAAGTATGTAACAAATGAGAACGCTATAATTAGCTTTCCCCACAACTCTTAGACATTTGAGAGGGTACTAATTCCTAGATTACATAGAAAGGCTGGTCCAGGGAGGGGAAGTAGCTCGCCCACAGCCACACCATGAAACTCTCGCTTAAATCGACTTGGTCTCTGGTTTTATTCCTAAGTCAATATGTTAGTATTAAATGATGTCTACTTCTGGTCATGTGCTCAGATGCAAGGGCAGAAAGAATGGTGGGAAAGGGATAAGTTTTTCTGGTGACATTACAAACACACAGAAGCATCTGAAGCCATCTGATCACAAGGAGGGACACCCTTGGTTTGCCTGGCATCTGGTGTCCAGATAAGATGCTAAGGTGGATGCTAAGGAAGAAACAATACCAGGGCCACAAAACCAACACCGGCAGACATTTCCAAAGCCACTGCACCCAAGGAGAGAGAAGCAAACACATTGGGTAAGACGGAGACGTGATTAGATGAATACTGGCCACTCAGATGTGCTTCTGAAGGAGGACTTGACCTCACCAAGAAAGTTGCACCCTGAACAGTTTTACCTGGATCTCCAGACAAGGCAGCCGCACTTTTGCTTCTGGCCAGGAACGCATGTGTGGGCGTCAGCAGTCTGTTAACAACGCTGCTCTCCCAGGGGCTGAGCTGCAGGCGGCGAGCTAAACGTCACCACATAAGCAAGATGTTAGAGGGATTTCTTCCAAGGGCAAAAGGGTGCACAAGAACATCATACTTATGGCTTCCACACTCCAGGCCTTTGAGAGACGAGGCTCTCCAGGGAGGACAGCTGGCAGAGAGTCGGGGAGATAGGAACTCTGCCCAAAGGAGGAGCTATTCCAAAATGTGGACTTTCTTCATGACGTTAGTTTTACGGATGCAGGGTTTGCTAGCCACCCTCCTTTAGGAACGAACGAGTAGCAAAATGGAAATAGCATGTGGACTACGGGTTTGGCATGTTGTGGGACCTGTCGGCCCTCATCAGGATGGGCAGTGGGCTGATGGCACACACACCTCAACCCACTCAGGGCTTCCTGAGTACCCTGTACAATCAACTCCAACAGAGGCTTTGGCAGCTAATCAAAGACTGTATTTCTCTATCACTAAAGACAGAAAGGGTCTCCATGACATTCTGCCAGATGTCCATGAACTGCTACTTCAGCACTGGGGGGAAATGAGATACAATAAAATGAAAGAGGACTCAGGCAAAGTACTGTGTGGGATTTCCTTTTGACTCTTCCATCCAGCAAGCCAGGTTCTTTCAGATCCCTGTTTGGCAACAACGTAAGCATTTTGGCAGAGGATAAGGGTAAAGCTGAAGGAAGATAAAATTAAACAGACAAGCCAAAATCCAATATAAACTTAATGCTGGAAATTACTAGTGGGTGTGTGAAGACTCCAGAAAATAAATTGAGAATAATGCAATGAAAGATAGTCCCAAATTGTACAGGGCTCGGTGGCAAGACTATTGTTAGGATATACACACTAATTAGAAATTAATTACTTTGCTTATATCATTAGTTATCAGGAAAGAAGCTTGCAAAATCCTGCAAATATCACTAAAGTGATCATTGTCTCTATTCTAGAACACACTCCAAGTCACTTATAAAAATCTTTAAAACTGGCTAAGCCTCACAAGGCCACTTCTGTTCTGTACCATAACCAGCACATGTATATCCTCAGCACATGTAAATCATCTTTTATATGTCGCATTTTAAAGAAACAGCATTTAAATTCTAGAAAATTAGTTTTAGTTAACAGAAGTTACCTGATGTTAAATGTTGTTATAAAAAATATCTGCTCCTACTTGAAAGGAACTACCAACCTCCAAAAAGAATCTTAATTTCCTGAATTTATGTTAAAAGAGGAGCTATTTTCATTAAGGCTATGGTGAATTCAAGAATTAAGTGAATTGTTTATTAGATTTTCTGTTATTAGGAGAGTCTTCATAGTTAAATCTTATCTGATGGGCCTAAATAAAAGGATCTATTATATAGATATGTGTTGTATGCATACAATTACACGCATAATCTAGTAATAGTTACAAAGTAGAACACAGAGCAGAATGCTGTTACATACTATATTATGGCAGCGTGTATGTGTGCATCAATCACAGAATTTAAAGCAAACTAAATGTGGAATACATTCACAGAATAATATCAATAGGGAAAAGTGATGAGGATAAATGAAAATCTTAACAGAACTATATTTTCAGGTAAGAAAGGGAAGAGAGGAATGCCCCCTCCCCAAACTCTCTAGGAGTTTGGCATAGAATTGCAGAGATGGTTTATCACTGAAAAGACAGCTCTTTTCTCCACCCCCCCCCCCCCCGGATTAAGAAGTTCATTAACTTTATTTCTGTGAGACTTTAAAGCATCAACCGAAGAATCCACCTCAAATGGAAGATTAAAAACCTTCTCTGACTTGTGTTTAAAGCAAATCTGAAGACATTTGTTTTATAGCTCTGAATGAAAGCTTTTGCCAGAAGAAACATGTTTCCACTTCTTCCGCTTTCATTACTGTGCTCTGAACGAGACAGAGATGGATGTCTTCCATAAGACAACTTTTTAATAAAGGTTAGGACAGGAGTTAGTTTATTGGCTACCCCCCCAACCCCCTATCTAGCAGGGCCTGATTTTAAGATGTTGGGAGAGGTATTAATTCTTATGAAACAACTCTACAGTATTGATCTTACTTAAGCACTTAACACTGAGATATTGACAATTCCTATAATAGACCACCTATAATGGACCAGGGGAGGCACATGAACATTAGAGGTATTTGCACTCCCACCTTCTTCCATAAGCAGGAAATCACTGTTGAGTTTCAGATGAGTGCCATGTAAAATGCAGCAAGTGTTGCCACATCCTGATATTTCATTAGAAGTAGGAAACCTAAATGTTATGTGAGATATTCCGGATGATGGCAATGAATTCAACTTAAAGAACAAAAAACCCTACTCAAGTCAAACAGAAGATGCCTGTGGGCAGAATTCAGCTTTAGGTCTACCGCTGCTTCCAGTGATCTAGATTCTAGGGAAAAAAATGTATGGACTAATTGTAATCAAACAACTTCACTTCTTGCTTTTTTGAAACTCCCTATTCTTCCCTGAAGAAAAAAAAACTGGTTAAGTAGGTAGCTTAAGAATATGAAGAAACACACTTTTAATGCAAAAATTTCCAGTGGTAAAATTCCCTCTATTGCAGCAATTAAAAAAAATCTTTGGTAAGTAGAGATTTCTTTTAACTCAGGTCATTTTATCAATCTGTATGATACTATAATCAAGTGTGATAATCAAAATATTTAAAAACAGGTAGGGCACAGGCCCAGGTCTAATGGATGCCAGGCATTCCCTCTAGAGGACCCGGGGAAGCACAGCTTGAGAAAGTGGTAGTTACACCAAATGGTAAGGAAGTATTTCAGTATTTTTAATAACCAGCAGAGCATTCCAGCTGAATCCTGATAGCACCAGAAGCTCAACTTAAATATCAGCTTTAAGCCCAGTGCTATAGGGCTGAGAAAGCTCAGACCATCTAGTAATGGTACATTCCCTTTACTAGATTTGTCCGCAAAAGCCTCTAATTTAATAATTTGACAACTGGATAAGAATGCTTCCTAATTTGATAATAAAGCATGACACCAACTTTTAAAAATAGCAGAAAAGAACATTAACAAAATTACTTAAATTTTAAATTAGAGAAGTTCAAATTCAGAAGAATTTCTATTCTCATTAAAAGGCCTTGGCTCCTCACTGTCCTACTGAGAGTTTGTCTAACTTAAAAAAAAAAAAAAAAACTGTTTCCTGGACCATATGGGAGCTCCTGGATGAACTGAATCCTCTTTCCTGGCCGACCCTGACCTTGCCTATTAGACTCAGGAACTGGTTCACAATTCTGACAAGGGGCCAGAGAGGCAGAACTCTCAAATTTAGTGCTCTCCCTCTGATTATGCTAAATTCAGCTTAGGATTCAATTTGATAGGCTCCCCATAATTCAAGGGGCAGTTTCCTGGCCCTAGCTATGAACTGGCTATTGAATCTTCCTTGATCTATACTTCACCTCAAAAAGCACACATACAGTCAGAGTTGATCTAAGGAAGGGCACCCATGAGGGCAAGAACAGAAGATGCAGCAGAGCAACAACATGGTTTAGGAGCTGGTGATCTCTTCTAGGCATTCTCTCCAACAATTAGTCTATAGGATACTTAATCGGATCTCTGTCTGTCACCTCAGGGACTCTGTTACCCCAACTGGAACAGATGAACCATACAACAAAACTTTTCTAGTCTTAAGATTCTATTAAGAATACCCAATCAAGGGGGCGCCTGGGTGGCTTAGTCAGTTAAGCGTCCGACTTTCGCTTAGGTCATGATCTCGCGGTTCGTGGGTTCGAGCCCCACGTTGGGCTCTGTGCTGACTGCCAGCTCAGAGCCTGGAGCCTGTTTCAGTCTGTGACTCTCTCTCTCTCTGACCCTCCCCTGCTCACGCTGTCTCTCTCTCTCTCCTAGAAATAAATAAAACATTTAAAAAAAAAAAAAAAAGAATACCCAATCAGGGGCACCTGGGTGACTCAGCTGGTTAAGCATCCGACTTTGGCTCAGGTCATGATCTCACGGTTCCTGAGTTCAAGCCCTGCATCGGGCTCTCTGCTGTCAGCATAGAGCTTAGTTCCGATCCTCTGTTCCTCTCTCTCTCTGCCCCTCTCCCAACTGTGCTTGCACTCACTCGTGCTCTCTCTCAAAAATAAATAAACATTAAAAATTTTTAAAAATCCAATCACATACTATCATGCAGAATCTATAAAACATCTTGTTGCTAGTTGAAAGATCCTTGTCATCCCACAGAAGTGTAGTAGGATACATTGTTTGGTTTATCGCTTATCTACCCCAATTTCAGCTGTGAAACTGTAGGAAGCACTAAGCATGGTTTGACTTCAAAGTACCATAAAATCCCAACTGCAGTTTGTCTTAGACATAGGTTCACAAAAGTATGATATTAAAGTGCTGAGTAAGAGACCAAATCCCAAGAAAAGATGAATAGACAATTTTAAGAATAGCATTCACATGCTATATTTTATACTAAGGGAATGGGTTTGAAAATAAAGCCTATTTATTTTCAGTTCATAATACTTTTAGGAGTTTTAGTTCTTAATACTTTTCTCTAACATATAAAAGGCCCCTAATTTGACTACATGTCTAATATCAATGATTAGATAATCACCATCATTTACCAATTATCATTTAGTTAATAGTTGAGCAAAATAAAAAAAGAGGAATGGTTTAGGTTAAAAGGCAAGCACAGGAAGTTATTCAAACAGTTACGGCTTTAAGAGATTAGTTATTAGTTATAAAATAACATCAACAGGTATAATATTGTACATTACAATGACACAACTTTTATACAATACAAATATATGAAAACACATACACACAGAACATGCACACATTGCATTCTTTTTAAAGACTGAACATTTCCCAGTTTCTTAATAAAACATTCAAAACAACCACAACTTGTTACTTTTAAAGAGTATATGTTTTTATGTTGCACAACAATTCTTTGGTTTTCTAATTTAAAATCTTAGGTCTGTAAAACCAGAGCTTATCTTAAAAACTTGATTTTTCCTTCTATGATATATAAATATGCAAAATAAAACTTTAATTTCATCAATAACTCAAAATTCATGTACTGTAAATCCATGGGATGAATAAGACTCAAAAGTTCAAATTAAAACATTAATTGGAGGAATATGATTATTAAAAATTTTAGGAAACTTCAATGACGATATTCTTGAAGTTAGGCCAAATCCCTTAAGAGCAAAATGAATGGACACCAAAAACCAATCACACACACACAAGAAATGCAGTAAGGTTTGGTTAAATGAGAAATCAAATAGTAAAATGAAATCTACCAACATGAGTCATTTAAGAAGATTTTTTTAAAAGTCAAAGCTTGGAATTCTCAAAGTACAGATGAAAAGTCAAAGACAATATGATTGAAGTAAGTGTTCATAACAAAGGTTATTTGCATGTTGGTGGATAAGTGGGTGATTTCTGGAGCTGTAAACTCATTTACTAAAAAGTTGAGAAGCACCGCTTTCATCACTGCTAAATGCAACCATTCGGCCAAGTTCTAAAATGACCAAGGTTCTTGTCGCAAGGGAAATGCTGCTCAGCCGTTTATTGCTTTTTTATTCTGAAGTTTTGTTCTTCCTATTTAAGAAACGTAGGGAAAGCAACTTCAGATGCTGATTTTAGCTGTAAACATCCAGAAAAAGAAAAAAAAAAAAAAAAAGAAGCATTAAGTAAATAACAGAACACTTTTTTTTGGTTTTCCTTTTTGACTGTACCTCTATCTGGAGAATTTAGTAAAGTTGCAGATGAAGAGGAGAGCCGCTTGCTAATGACGGGATCAACATGTTTCGAAAGATTCATGGTGGAAACTGACCTCCTGTCTGGATCTAAAACAAATGGAGATAATGCTAATTGACAGCCAGCATGCAGGATTGCAATTTCCTAGTTCACTGATGGAAGGAAAAACTAGGATTGGATGCTTTCAGCTCTATCACTAGATCTTACGTAACAGCACAGTTTTCTAAGTGGACGTCTCAAGGGTAACTTAAAGGCTAGAAATAAAATTCTTTTTCTCAGAGGATAAAATAAACACTTAGCACACCAGTTTGTCAGCCAGGAAAATTCAAGCATATTGTTATAGTACAACAGACAGAGGAGGAACAAAGGCAGGCTGGTGAGGGAACTAAACTAGCGGAGGCAGACTGTAAAACAGAGAGAGGACTGTGAAAGTGAATGCTCTCAGAATTTTCCCAAACCGGGACAAGGGGGTAGTAAGAGGGCTGGCAAAACAGAATGCAAACACTAGGAAAAAAAAGGAATACCAGGTTCTCTGCATTTGTTGATACCTCTGCTTGTAGAGTCACAAGGGCATTACAGTTCATTACAGAAAAACAGATTAAAAAGAAAGAAAGGGGCACCTGGTTGGTTCAGTCAGTTAAGTGTCTGACTTGATTTCGGCTCAGGTCATGATTTCACGGTTCAGGAGTCAGAGCCTGGCACTGGGCTCCATGCTGACACTGTGGAGCCTGTCTGGAATTCTCTCTCTCCCTTTCTCTCTGTGCCCCTCCCCTGCACGCTCTCTCTCTCTCTCTCTCACAAAATAAATACATAAACTTAAAAAAAAAAAAAAGAAATATTCTGGGTGTGGAAAGGATGGCTGCTATAGCACTGCTTTTTAAAAAGTCTACAAATTGGGACACCTGGATGGCTCAGTCAGTTAAGCGTCCAACTTCGGCTCAGGTCATGAACTCATGGTTCGGGGTTCGAGCCCCGCATCAGGCTGTGTGTGCCAGCTCAGAGCCTGGAACCTGTTTCAGATTCTGTGTCTCACTCTCTCTCTGACCCTCCCCTGCTCATGCTGTCTCTATCTCTCTCTCAGAAATAAATTTTTAAAAAATTTAATAAATAAATAAATAAATAAATAGTCTATGAATAACCACACCTCTGTGCCTGTAACACAGAGTCTGGTGCAGTTTACAAATGTAGAATCAGCCTATAAACTTGCCCAACAAAACTGACAGCAATATATAAAGAAAACTGGAATTCTTTCTCTTTAAGTTTATTCTGTTCATCCTGTAGGTCAGTAATTTTAGAGTAATTCTTAAAAGTCAAATCAGAAGAGAATAATAGCCATGTAAAATAGGCAAAAATCCCCTCTGTTGGTTTGTTTTCTGTACAGTGGAACCAAGTTATAACTATGCTCATTGGAATAAATCACGTTCCCTGAATAAAAGTGCACAGAACAGAAGCCTAAAAATCTCACTGTATTTATTTAGGGGAGCAAGTAGGTGTTCCGACCTATGATAGCCAAAGTTAAAAAGGTGTTGCTCTATTTTGTTTTGTTTTCTATTATTAGCTTCTTCTAAAACCAAAACCAAACAAAAATATTTTTTAGGTAGATGCCTTTAAAACCCGGTTCCCACTGGGTACCACTAACACTGGTAGTCAAAACTTTACAGTAAACTTCCCTCCACAGAATAACCATTTTGGCCACTGTTTATAGTGTACAGATAAACAATTCTTCCCCCAACATCAGACATTCCTATCTCTACTGGGACACATTTGTGTGGTTGAAGCAACTTCACTGTAACACAAACAAACCCAAACATCATTTCTGTGACGTAAATTTGCACTTAACTGATAGGCTCTTAGGGCAATCCTAAAGATTTAGGATAAAATACCAAAAGGAACATCTAAATGATGAAATGTAAGATCCAGGGGCTTAAAGAAGGATAATCAAAGTCATTTTTAAGTGATTGACAGCAATACATTTTCTGATATTGTTTTATCTGTTAAGCTTTAGTTGAAGGACATTGTGTCTACATGAAGGCCTACTCTGCATGGTTAAAATTATGGGGGTGTAATATGTATTTATTACCTTACTTAACAGGAATTTTTAAAATGTTTTTTTTGTTTGTTTTTTGTTTTTTGTTTTTTGTTTTTTTAATTTATTTCTAGGAGAGAGAGAGAGAGACAGCGTGAGCAGGGGAGGGTCAGAGAGAGAGGGAGTCACAGACTGAAACAGGCTCCAGGCCCTGAGCTGGCAGTCAGCACAGAGCCCGACGCGGGGCCCGAACCCACGAACCGTGAGATCATGACCTAAGTGAAAGTCGGACGCCCAACCGACTAAGCCACCCAGGCGCCCCTACTTAACAGGAATTTTTAATCATTTCTTTTTCTTCCTGAACAAAATATAAATTTATGAAAGGATTTATTAAGAATCAATTTTGGGGTGCCTGGGTGGCTTAGTCAGTTAATCGTCTGACTCAGTCTCGGCTCAGGTCAGAATCTCATGCTCTGTGAGACTGAGCCCCACATTGGGCTCTGTGCTAACAGCACAGAGCCTGCTTGGGATGCCCTCTCATCTCTCTCTCTTTCTCTCTCTCTGTTCCTTCCCACTTGTGCTGTCTCTGTCTCTCTTAAAACAAATAAATAAATAAAAACTTAAAAAAATTTTACATACCAGAGCTAACTGATGTGTGAGCAGTAAGGCAACATATTGATTTAATCTGGATTAAATTTAATTTCTAGGATCTGGTTTTGATCAGCAAACACTGACTGAGTGCCCATCCTGAGTGAGGCATTGTTGTATATGAGTAAGACCAGGTCAGCACTCCTAAATTACAGCAGATCATTCCAACCTTTGGGGATTTTGGCAAATTCAAGTCATTTTCAAACTTCTCTGCTCTAGCATAGCGGCAATTTTCTGTAATTCACAGCCCTTATAAAAATGGATTTTATCCAAGAGCTAACAAATACAATACCAGTATCTCTTACTCTGAGTGGCAGAAATGAAGGTCATACATTAAACTCTGAGTGTGGAAGCAAGAATTAAAGCCAAGTGACCGTATTTCCCCTTAAAAATATTTGAAAATATGTAACTGAGTGTATGTACTTCTGCGGTGCACAAGTAAAACACGAAGGCAAGTAAAAGAAAAATAAGTAAGGTTATAAAAATATATACTATGACAGCTTTTCTGTATGGAACATTTATATACAATTGCCCTCCGGATAAAATATCACATATAAATGATCCTTGCAAGTAGAGATTTGTCACATGCCCACCATGGGCCACTGGATCATTAAGGGCCAAGAAAAAAAAAAGTGCTTTCAAGTATGGTTTAACGTCATAGAAAAGCTGTGATAATTCACTTTCAGAATTTTTAAAACAAAGGGGTTCTAAAAGATCCACTAAAGGTTAGGAATGAAAGAAGAGAGCAAACAAAAATCCAGAGTTATTTAGGTGAAGAGGAACAGTGGAAACATCAGCAGTGACAGGGACGGAGAGGTGGGGAGTGCAAACTGGATGTACTCTGATCCCAGGTAATTGATTAATTAAAAAACACTTTTTAAAGTTTTTATCCAAAATGATCACTTAAAGAGAAAGTAAACATATCACATGTAGTTACATTATTTCAACACCTTCAAGTCACCGGAGTTCTATTATCACACTTCAGAAAACACTGTGCTATGCCCAGATCTAGGTCTATGCAATGGGACAGTAAGCATGCATTATGACTAAAGTGGTGACGGCTCAGCTAGCGATGAACTGGCCCCAGGTCCAAGGAGCTAGCTACGGGTCAGGAAATCAACACCCACAGGGATGTCTGTACCAGATTTTCTAGTACCACTGAGAGTTGTGGAGTGGTGGTCCAGGCCTGCTAAATCGAGAAAGGTGAATGAGGATTCAACAAAACCACCTGGGGACAGAATGTAAGACAATGATTTTTCAAAGTAAATTAAAAAAAAATGTTATTTAGACTCACACAGATGAAAAAGAACTGACACACTATATAAAACTCAAGGTGTCTTGAATTTACAGTACAAAAATAAAGCCTTTCACTATGTCCAAATTCCAGTACGATTTTATGTCTATTCAAGAACAAGGGAATAGCTGAGACATTCACTGGATCTGGTTTTAGAACCTGCACTTTCTCCGGCAGAGCATTAAAAATGCACACACTTTAAGGTCTGAATACATAAGCTCAGAGTATTGATTTTGATCAGTCAATACTGCTAGGATTCTTCTAGTGAGTAAGAGAAAACTGGTGAACTTGTTCCGTAATCCAGACAACTTAATGTAAAGGATTACTTAAAACAATGTAGAGTGGAAGCTGCACATTTACTTAGAAACATTGCATAGATTTCTATCTCTTCAAGGAACCATGTAACAAAAGAGAAAAGCAGCCTGTGTTACGGGACAGAGAACCTTATCTTCTTACCTCCATCACCCTCTTATCCTCAAACAATAGGCTCATCATTTCAGTATAGTTTAATTATTTCAGCAGGATTTTTGTTTTGGAAACAGAGACTCAGAAAAAAAGAAGCAACTGCCCTTTTACTGTCCAGGAAGAAAGCAGTGATTCCGAAGGCGATCACTGTTTGTTTACCTGCACTGTGGATGCTGGGACTCCCATGCAGAGAGCCTCCCCACGACCAGCGGTTATGCTTCTGTTTTGGCTTCTGGCTCCTCTCCATTGTACGCCGTACAACAGCTTCATGGCGTTCCTCAAATGGAACAGGGGAGTGGAAGATTAGATTCAACCTGGTTGGTTGAGGCTTCTTCAACTTGAGGCAGGATGCGGGAAGGTACTACTGAGATCGTTACCTTAGTTACTCCTAGTTCCTAACTTTGACACTTTATCTTAGGGTGGAAGTAGTATCAACCTGGGACAGTTACTGAAATCATCAAGTCCCAGGTGACAAAGCATCTCAATACTTTCATACAGACGAACTGAACGTAAAGACGTTATCGCTCTAAGACCAGATGCCTGCCTGGGCTTTTAAAGTTTCTAGGGAAGTAACTGTAACAATCACCCCATTTGGTATCTACCTTCCATACCCCAATCTCCCTGGAAGCTGTGACTATCTATAAAGCTGATTACTTAATTCTGCCATGTACCCCAGCACCGTCATGGAAGGTTTCGTAGTAAATGTGCTGCATTTCCGAGACAGACAAGCCTCCCATGTACTTCCCAGGGCGGCATCTTACTTTGTCTTCCTCCAGCCTCTGCCTCCGCTTTTCCTCCACGGCAGCTCTCCTCCGCTCCTCCTTCAGCCTCTGCTCCTCCAGCTTCTTCTTCCGCTCTTCGAGGTGCTTTTCATAGTGCTGCCGGGCTCGCTCTTCCCTTTCTAACCAGATGATTTCTCTCGCAGCTGGAGGAAGAAAAACAAGGGAAAGACAGGCAGGTTTAAAACCTAACTAGGCAGGCCTGTTTCAACAGCCCGCATGGAACAAATATGGGTTCTTTGGTTTTATCTTTACCAAGCCTGGCCTTTGCTTTCCTTACATTTTCAGGAAAAAGTACCACCGTTAATTTATAGCATAATTTAATATGCTGACAATGAGGTCAAAGAAGATGCACTGAATTCTCTTTGGGAATCTCCTACAGTTGTCTAGTTTGGTATATAATTACAATAGAATAATGCATACATCACATGCTCTGGTCTCAATTCCAATGACAGAAAAAACCAATGGCACCATCTGTCTCTCTCTTAAAAAATGTGATCGGGGCGCCTGGGTGGCTTAGTCGGTTAAGCGTCTGACTTTCACTTAGGTCATGATCTCGCGGTTCGTGGGTTGGAGCCCCGCGTCGGGCTCTGTGGTGACTGCCAGCTCAGAGCCTGGAGCCTGTTTCAGTCTGTGACTCCCTCTCTCTCTGACCCTCCCCTGCTCACGCTGTCTCTCTCTCTCCTAGATATAAATAAAAACATTAAAAAAATTAAAAAAAAAAAAGTGATCATCCTCCAGATCAAAAGCCTCTGACTACATTTGTTTTGACAAAGCACTGGTTCTCTGAAAGCATTAGAAGAATTTGGGAGAAAATCCCCTGAATTGATGGTTGATAAAAGATCTATTAAGTGTCTCACAGCTTTATCACACTGAGTCAGCTAAGTGATGTGAGAGACTAAGTGAGCAGATCTGGTGTCTGAGGAGCTCACGTTCTGGTTAGAATAGACTTACTATCACAGGCTGAATGGAAATAAGCAATTCAGAAAATATTGTTCAGTGATGGAATGCTTCTTTTCTCTGCTACATATCCATGTTCCTTCCTTCCTTATTTTAGGGGAATACATAGCCAACAAAACTTTTTTTTTTTTAGTATGACGCTTCCTTGACCTGTGATAAACATCTCTTTAATATGATCTATTAACACAGTAGGTAAAAGTGTCCAAACAAAATTTAGAGCATGGCAAAGAAGTTAAAATGTTATTTTTTAAAGAGAAAAAAAGTTCAGCACATTTCAGTTTCCTCTAAATGTTTAATGTTAGTGATTCTGTAGTTCTGTTGACATTATACCTTTGTAAAAGCGGTTCACTTTAGGAGACAAATCTACTGAAAGAAATCTGAATGCACTTCACTTATGTGAAAGAACAAGGAGGATCCAAGATGAGTCTGTCCAGTGACATCACTCAGGCCGGTGACAGACAGAACTGGGTTTTCCCAGCAGCCCTGCCACTAACGGGTGCTGAGATCTTAAGACACGTTCATTTGAATTTCAGTTTTCTCTTGCCTAAAAGATGTGGAAATGACCTATAAGATTCTTTCCAAGTTTAAAAGTCGATGGTTCTAAAGAAAAGTCTCAGGCCCAAGTTGAAAATATACTTTGAGTAAAAGCACATAGTATGTGTTCAATAAATATTTGCTAAATGAGTGAATAAATATAAACACCATGAGAATACACGTTGAAAGAAACAGATGGGGAACATAATTCTAACACTGTTTTAAAGGTGAACTTACTGTGATCACACACCCTCATGCACATATCTTTTGGATTTCCTGAATACCTTACTAGCAGATTTCAATGATACCACACATTATAGTTCATTTAAAAAGGTGGATTTCCAGTGACAGATTTTTGTCAAAGCTGTTTTTAAACAATACAAAATATTAAAAGGCGAAATGAAGTTCTTCCCCTAACCTTAGACCCTCTTACGTTCCACTTCTACCCTTTCTTGCAAATGTAGAAGAAAGTAAAAATCCAGGTATTAACTGTAGCACGGCACTCCCTGTGCTCTGCATCTTGCTTTTTTCACTGAAAATATATCTTAGAGATCTTTGCACATCAACACATGAAAGATGAATCTAACAACCTTTTAAATGGCCATATAGTATTTCACTATCTACATACTTTCTTTTATTTTTGTATATATATTTTAAAGTTTATTTATTTTGAGAGAGACAATGTGAGTGGGGGAGGGGTGGAAAGAGTGGGAGGGAGAGGATCCCAAGCAGGGTCCACACTGGCAGCACAGAGCCCGACCCAGGGCTCAAACTCATAAAACTGTAAGATCGTGACCTGAGCCAAAACCAAGAGTCGGATGCTTAACCGACTGAGCCACCCAGGTGCCCCAACATGCCTTATTTTATATAACCAAATACTTACTGATAGATTTTCTTAGTTGTTTCCAATATTTTACCAATTCAGACCTTGAGTGACACTATATATTCATAACCTCCGTAGAGGCGTGAGCATATCTATGTAGAAGTAGAATTGCTGAATCCAAGGGAATGTACACTTAAAATTTTGACAGATACTCTCACACTGTCCTCTGTGGAAGTCACACCAATTTATACTCCCACTGACAATGGCTGAGAGTCACAGAGAGAAAAAAGAAACAGCTTTATACCCTGAAACCTGGATATAAGACCCATCTATTTCTTAACTCCTAGCTTTCAAACTAGGCAGTCTTTGACTTTTATACTCCATGTTGAGGGAAACTTCAGATTCTTTGAGGACATGTATGAATGTTACAATGTCTTTTCCTGTAAGGATATCCCAGAAACCAAAAGACAAAATAAGAAAAAATGTTTATGAAATACTAAGAAAATATTTTTTTATAACTGGCAAGATAAATTGGTAAAGTAAGAATTTATCAATTCACAGGTTCATTCTCCTTAAATCACATTTTTCATCAGGCTACTTTCTCGCTAATGAATATTCGTGGTTATTTTCTCATTAAATCGAAACTCCACTTATTTCTAAAATCCTACCTAAACTTAGCCTTAATATCCTTATGTGGCCTTAATCTGCATTGCTTTCCAAAAGAGCCTCTTACTTCTAATGAATCCTGTTTCCTTACGGCACCTCCCATATAACCTACACTTCTTCCATCTCCTGCTCCCATTGTTGCCCTGTTGAGAAAACTGCCATCATTGTTAATTCCAACAGACCCATCCTTTACGATGGGGGTCTTATAATGTAGTTCAGAATCACCTCTGGAAGGGTGTGTGCGTGTGTGTGTGTGTGTGTGTGTGTGTGTGTGTGTGAGTGTTGGGCGGGGAGACTAGTTAAAATGCAAATTCCTGGTTCCAACCCTCATATTCAGATTTATTAATTCTAGGATGGGGCCCAGAAATCTGCCTCCCAGGTGACTGGTGGTCCCAAGTGGTCTACAGATGGCATCTGGAGGGACACTGCCCTCAAGGTCTTCTGCAGGAACTTCAACTCTTCTGGGGGGGCGGTCAATGCTGCTCTTATGACATCTACCACGAACTTCAGCATTTCTTCTATTCTGATTTCTAGGTAGCAAAGGTTTTCTTTGCTGTCCCCCAATCTCCCCATTCACCGTAGTGCTTTTCACAACTTGAACATATCCGAAGGTCTTAATAATTACTTCCTGATTCACTGGGAACTGCTTCCTGATTCATTCACCCATAACTGTGTGCTCTTGGGCAAGTTACATTACTTCCCAATGCCTCACTTCTGCCAGTGTTAACTGTGGCTAAATACAGGATCTTCCACTTGATACCTTTTTTTTTAAAATGTTTTATTTCTGAGAGAGAGAGAGAGAGAGAGGAAAGGAGGGAGGGAGAGAGCGAGCATGAGCAGGGGAGGAACAGGAACAGAGAGAGGGAGACACAGAATCTGAAGCAGGCTCCAGGCTCTGAGCTGTCCGCACAGAGCTTGAGGCGGGGCTCCAACTAACGAGCCTTGAGATCATGACCTGAGCTGAAGTCGGATGCTCAACTGACTGAGCCACCCAGGCGCCCCGCAGCCTGGTGCTTCTGAACAGGCTTACATCTGTGTGAGTGAGTACACGTGTCACTACCATATGACCAAAAAGAAACCTGTGACATTCAGAGAGTAGAGCAATGTTATCACTTCATCTCTGAAACCTACAGAACTGCAGTCTCGTTTCATGTTAAGACATGGAAGGATACGCACAGGTAACTCTAACACCGGGTACCAGCAGAGCCAGTAATAGCACAAAGAATCAGAAAATGACAAGTGCTAATATAATATGTGAGTTCAGGCTTTGATTCTGCTACTAATTCTGCATGACCCTGGGAAAATCAGCCAACCTATCTGACTTCTCAATTAGAGGGTATGTACAAAATGATCTCCAAGATCTTTTCCAATTAACTCCCAGGACTCAGTTTTTATCTTTGAGGAGGTGTATGTGATTATAATTAGGTCTCCAGCCCCTGAGGGGCCTTCCTCCTCTGCCTTCCTCCCAGCACACAGCAGAAGGCTAAATGGGACTGAGGGGCTGGGATGGCAGTTTATTCCTGTGGAAGACCAAGAGCCTTCCTTATATATGGGCTGACGGACTTTTTTTTTTTTTATAGTTTATTATCAAGTTGGTTTCCATATAACACCCAGTGCTCATCCCAACAAGTGCCCTCCTCCATGAGGACTTTTTTTTTAAATGTTTATTTATTTTTTGAGAGAGAGACAGACAGACAGACAGACAGGGGTCAGTGGGGGAAGGACTATGTGAGAGGAAGACACAGAATCCGAAGCAGGCTCCAGGCTCTGAGCTGTCAGCACAGAGCCCGATGTGGGTGAGATCATTACCTGGGCTAAAGTCGGATGCTCAACTGACTGAGCCACCCAGATGCCCCCTAAGGACTTCTGATAGAAGAATTCAATACTATTCACGACTTTCCACCTTCAGGGCCAGGCTTAAGGGAGTGTTCAGCGTCTGCTAAAGTAAGTGGGGTTGTGCTAAACCACACAGATCAATGGTTGTCCTTGAAATTTTTTAGTTACTACCTAACCCCAAATCCACTTGACTCCTTAAAAAATGTTGCCATCCTCCTCACCTGGCAGCTTTACTGAGCTCTATCTTGCTGGACCAGAAGACACAAACAACCCTCACTCTCTCCCCTAGCTGGGAAACATGAGGCTTCTCCGATCCCAGGCATCTAA